AGCAGGGTGAGCCGGAGGTGCCTTCGGCGGTCTTTGAAGAGCAGCGTGATCGGGGTCTTCGACTCTCTTTTTTGGGTGCACCTTTCTCAACAACAGGATCCCTTCCCTTGCAAACTCCTTGCACAGAGCACTCAAATAGGCACCGACGACCATGGCAACCATGAAGCCCACGACCACCACCAGGAGCACACCGCTACGTCCAGGACGACCAGCAACCAGGAGACCACGAGAAGACCACGAAGAAAAATAACGAGGAGACCACAGGAGACCACGAAGAAATCACGAGGAGACCGCGAGACCCCGGCAAGACCACCAGTTTGTGTAGCGCATTCATGCGCGTAGGAACAAGCGAGTGCGATCGGCCGAAACACTCGGCTCGAATCGCCTTTTGATTTCTCCTTCGCCCGTCTCCCTCGCCATATATGCCAGACCGACCATGCAGCACGGGCAGCTCAGGCTGCGGCGGGGCGAGGACCGGCATCGCTCTGGCCACAACTCCACCATGGGCGCGTCCGATGCCCACGCACAACTTCGGTGCGCCGGGCTTGGGCGGAAGGTTGGAGCCCGTCCGTCTTCGGACATGTGGTGAGGCACCCCCGGCCACGGCAGCACCTTTCGTATACATGTCGCTTACACGTAGCTGCAGTGTCAAGCGGAACACGCACTGCATGTTGCATTTCTTCCGGAGTCCTTCTGCATTGCCGTGAGACTTGACAGCGAAGGGGACAAGATCTCTTGGACTGGTTTGTAGACACAGAGGAAACGTTTTGTTTCTACACTACATCAGACAACCCGAAGCTTGATGAGATTGATTCCTCCTTCCTGGACCTTCTGGCCGGCTGATTTTCCTCAGCTGCGTGTCGCAAACGGCCTGCAGCGGCCTTGCAGGAGGATGGCCCGCAACACGAAGGCGAGGTGGCGGTGGGAGCAGGCCTCCGAGAACTGCTACAAGTCGAAGTCCAGGAAGCTGTGGACGAGGTCAGCAGTACCTCTGGCAGAGGTTTTCCGGTTACCAACTGTCCACTTCACCCTTGGCTGCAATTTGATCGACGCAGGAACTTGCTGAATCATTTGCACAAGCATCATGCATAATCGAAGCATTTCTGTGCTTCCGGTACAAAGCAGCTGCGAAGTATCTGTGGTACGACCAGGATGCGCTGCATGGCCGGACATCCGCAGCGAGATTTTTGAGAAGATCCAGTGTGTTACTGCGAGACACGGTCAAGGGAGTCATGCTTCTGGATCGGACCAACTGATACGTTGCGTGGCGTCGCAAAAGCATTCTTGCATGCAGCTGCTGCTGGGAGCGGATCTTTGGGCAAGATCCATATGCACTTCCTTCATGGTTGCAAACGCAGTCGCGGGGAGTTGGCTTCTCTTCTGCCGCGACGGGACAATGCTTTTTGGAAAAGTGTCCTGAGGATCTGACGAACTCGCCGCTTGTGCAAGCACGTGTGAAATAGCTGCTGATAGACTGACGGCGCACAGAGTTCAAGTACATCAGCATGGTTGCGGCGTTTCGCATCAATCTCAAGATCATCGGACAGGCCTTTTTCCATTCATCCGAGACAGCTTGTTGCTGTGATTCCGGAGCAGCAAGCACCTTCACACGCCGAGGTCGGGCAGGAGCAACGTTAACCGTTTCCGGTATTCGCTCCGAGAAGTCTCGCTTTCTGGCGGAAGTTGTCCAGTGGGATCTCACTGACTGCACCCAGAACAACCGAACATGCTCAAAATACTCCAGATCCAAGTCCGCCACATCCTTGTTGGCTGAGCTACCATTCGCAGGATCTGGTTCTGCAACCCAGGAACGTGTCCCCAATGATTTCCCGGCGACACGTGCCTGCAGACACCACCTGGGCCAGCCATTGATTATTGCGACAAGGCTCACGAATTCTTCCAGTGTACATCTGGCCAACCGACTGTCTCGATGCCTTCGCCTCGAACTCTGTTCCGGAAAGGTTCCACGCCACTTCAACCCGTGGATCCTAAAAGGCTATGGTGTGGCCGACTTGGTTTGGACCTCCGCTGATCTCCAAATGTCTGGCACGTCCGGTTGTCTTGTTCTTCTGTAAAGTATCCAACCGTCTACGCAAAGCACTCTGGCTCTGGGCAAGGGAACAAAACTCGGTCTTGTGCGCATTAGCATACGCAAATTTTCCTTTTTCGTTTTTGCCGGTGTTCTCTGGATAGCCTCAACCATGGACCGTCCAAGCAAGACACCGTCGAAAATGGCAGGAAATATGTCCCTCCGTTCGATGTCGTTGTACTTCCTCCGCCGACGGCCAGTTTTTTTTCGAATTTTTCCGCAGCTCCGTGTAAGCAGACGGCATCTGGGAACATGCTAGCCAACGCAATTGTCTGCTCTCGTTGGCGAGTGCATCCAAGAAGTGAAGCGCCTCCGCGCCCAGATGGGCAAACTTGGCAGTCGCGGCGCCGTTTGCGACTTCCAGAAGCGTGTGCTTGCCATTGGCTTCGTTGCATTCCAGATACTTCATGCGCATTTGCTTGCTCTGTTCTCAGCCGCAGCACGCCAGGGTTTGATTACATCCACCAGCTGCGCGACAATACTAAAAATCGATGCGGCGATATTATAATCAACTGAGTCGGGGCAGTGACGCATACCGATGGCATCGGGTCTCCAATATTCTCCAATTCACGCTGCATGAGTAGCGTGTCTGAGGACTGACTACCGGCACGTACGGATGTGTCAACGGTCAAAGTGTACATACTAGTTTCTCGATCCATCAGCCAGCTCCAAAAAATCAGCTTCAGGTTCCATGCGATGTCGCGGTGCATCACGTTTCTTGGAGGTGCCGTCGGGTTGGCGGCGCATGCGCGAGGGTCAGATTCAAACTTCTGGTCGAGTCAGGTGCCAGCCTGCGACGAACTGTCCATCGTACTCCTTAGGGAAGAAGAGAATCGTCGTGTGTCTGCGGCACAACGTCTTTGGAAGTGGTGTCTGGAAGGAGATACTAGGCAGATAAAGCACCGTCTGGCCACCTTCGGTAACAGCTTGCCTGCCTGCTCCAGCTTCGCGACGGTATCTTGTGTATCATGTTTATTTAACATACTTGCCTTTTGCAGACTTCAGCTGTGATACTGTGAGCCAATCTTTTTTCGAACGCAACCATGTACAGATTCGCTGGACCGTCTCATCCTGCTCTTTTTCTTGAGCAAGTCGCATAGCTTCTGCGATTGTGTCTCGTTTTGGCAACATATGTTCATTTGTTTCCAGACTCTCCAGAAATTGCAGCGGATCCGTCACCTCCATCTCCTCGACTTGCAGTCCGCAACTTCGTCGCACGCTTGCCAGTGTGAGCCCCTCGTCTCCGCCGCGCACCATGTACTGCTCGATTACATCTCGGCATTGTCCGGCCGTCCTAAGTTCAGCTGGCAGCTGGCATTCCTGAAAAGAATGGCCAACTGAGGGGTCGTGTTTACACAGAACAGACCCCGTCTGTGGCATGTCAGTCATGCATGTGGACAGTGAGATGCAAGACGCATTTCTACATGAATCGAGCTACTTGTGCAGCCCTTTCCGAGGCAAAAGCAAAGCGATTTGTTGTTTTTTAAAAACAAAGAATCTCTGTGGGAACCTCTGACCGCTTGGGCTGGGGCCGAAGCGATTTGTTTGGTAAATGTGTTGTAAAGTCCTACAGTTGTGTTTAGAAGTTCCCTTCAAGCTCCTATAAAGTAGACCTTTAGACATGCAATGCAGCCCGAGCTTACAAAAAAACTTCCCAGTTGTATTTGGGACGTTTTCGGTGGAAATCAGTGGCCGGTTTCAGTGTCAAGTTTCTTGTAATAAAAGCTTCCGGTTGTAGTATCGAGCTTCCGGTCGCAGCGAGGACTAGATATTTCCTTTGAACCCTTTCCTATACTCCATGGAGTTCGATAGTAGCAAGGGCGATGGGCTCCTACCTTGGATGCCTCGCCATCACCAACCAAACGTATAATTCCACGGATCCCAAGATAGAGCTGCAATGCTGACGTAGCGTATCTGGCAGGTGCTCAGTGGCATCCAAACGCCACCTTCGACTCCCGGATGTGAGTCGCCTTCCCAGTCGAGGTCTTAGCAGTGTCTTCCGGCTTCGCAAACCACCACGTAGACTCGTATTGGTGGGCTCAGGGGTTTGGGGCCGAGACACACTTTCCTGCATGTTTGGCTCATCACGATCGAATGACCTGTCGGAAGGTCGGCTTCGTTCTCAGTCCGTGTATGGGTGCTACGACCACGACCCCGACCGCAAACACGACTGCGACCGGTGACCGCAAGCGCGACAACGACCACGATCACCGCGACCACCACGACCAGCACGACCACCAAGACCCACCACGACCACCACGACCACCGCGACCACCGCGACCACCATGACCACCGCGACCGCCACCGCCCACCACGACCACCGCGACCACCGTGACGACCGCGACCACTGTGAGCACTGCGACCATTGCATGCAGGACGACGTTGGATGCACGACACATGAGAAGCATACGACATTCATCTGTAGCATTTTCGGTCATGATGTACCTCAGCTGTCCCCGAGAGTCTAAGGTGTGCCGGTCTTCAGATGCTGGAACTCGGCTCAGGACAGAGCACGACGTCTTGCCATTCACGCAGTGTGCTTTGCAAACCTCTGTGAGACTGGGCCAGGATTGGACAAAGGAGCCAATCCACAAGCAGCATAATCTGAGCAGGTCTGAGCAGCTTGCAACATGCAAGCCGTAGCTGACCCATGGCTGCTGCAGAAAGGGTAGCTACTGCAACCACTTTTGCGCTGACTTGTTCTGAGATCTGCACAATCCTTGAAATGGGCTACTGGATGATGTTTTGCCTCGCAATTTCGGCTTGCCTAGTCTGTACAGTGTGGTTTGTCTGTCGCAGTGGGGGTTGAGGGGTGTAGTGGGGGGCCTGGCCACCAGCCAGTGATGAGCTCATTGAGCTGCCCTGCTTCTGCTATGCATTTAACTTTGTCGGCTTGTTTGCGCACAAGGTCATGAAGCTCAAGCGCTTCCTTCTGAGATATTTCCCTCCTGGAATCGCAGCTGCCCTAGAGATGCGTGGAACCCGCAGAACCATGGACGGCCCACCTCCCAAAGATGAGCTGCGCTGAGAGGTTCTGGAGTACCAGCGGAGAAACGGAGATGTCGAGACAAAGGAGCTTTAAAGAGCTGCTGAGAGCCTGAGAGACTCTGGGAGACTCTGGGAGACTCTGAGCCTGTCAGTCCATCGACCTCCTGAACCTCACACCCGAGACCGACGTGGAGGTGCTCAAGCCGGCTTGGGCCCACAGAGTGTCCGCCGGCCTGCGCCAGGTCCTCATCAACCAAATAGTCTTCGAGGAGCCCTTGATCTCTGAAAACAAGAAGGACGAAGAGTCCGAAGACTTTGCCGGCGCCGGCAGCAACCACGGCGCTCACACTCAGGACACTCTTCGAAAGATGATCTACAAGCTCATGGAAAAGATTGACAACAAGGTGATTCGCGACGACGCTGGCGCATGTCAATTCTGCGGCACTGTTCCTGACAGGACTCACAGCGGTTCTATCTGTTCAAGATTCTTAGAGCCCACATTCTGCCCTTGACGAACTGTGCCTTCAACAAGCGGCTTGGAGCAGCATCCTCCAAAGCACACCAAGGGTATGGCAGAGAGCTGAGGTCCGGGTCGAAGTTCATCACCGGCTCCTACGACCGAACATGCAGAGTTTGGGATACGCTGGCCCGAGCCTAAGATCTGTTGCCGAAGTGCCGATGCTGGCATGCCCTTCGTCAGCTTTTGTTCATGCTTCAGAGCGGCGAAGAGCTCCTGACGCTGGACGGGCACAAGCGCCTCCCTCGACTTCTTCGGCGTTCCTGTTGCTGTAACCCTCTTCCAGCTCGCACTGAGGAACGTGGTGTATGCCATTGCTTTCAACAATCCCTTTGGTGACAAAGCCTCGGCCCTGGCACGAGAACACACAAACGCAAGTGATTCGAAGAGCTTCCTTGCCTGACGTCCCCGCGCTTAGCTGTGCTTCGTGGCAGATCGTCACCGGCAGCTTTGACAAGACCGCGAAGCTCTGGGATGCCAACACAGGGCAGCTGGAGCCCCAAGCGGAAAGCAAAGGAGAAGCGCACACACACACACACACACTCTCTCAGCTGAGGTGCATTCACACTCTCAAGGGCCACCACACGGAGATTGTCTGTGTTGCCTTCAATGTACAGGCGCGTGCTGGCGTCTCAAGCCTGCGGAATGAAACGCGGTTTTGGCTGCAGGGCACGCATGTTGCGACCGGCAGCATGGACAACACAGCAAAGCTCTGGGATGCCTTGGCCTCGAGGAGGCAACTTTTCACAGGCCGACAGCGAGCCGAGCTCAGGTGGAGACCGGCCATCAGATCGCTTCTCTGGATGGTCACTCTGCCCGAGACTTTGCAAACACCTATAGGGCCTGGTGATGTCTAGTGCCATGGCAAGCTGCAAGCCGCTCGGTCGGCCGAGGCCGAAATAGTTTCACTGAATTTCAACACCGACGGGGACAAAATTCTCACCGGTTCCTTTGACAACACCGCGAAGGCCAGGCCAGACGTGGCCAGAGCCAGACCTGTCTGGCCGTGGCAGCTTTAGCAGCTTAGCAGCTTTAGCAACTGCCAGGTTTGGGACGTGCGGAGGCCTGGTTCAAGATGTGTGAGACCTGACGCGGAAGTGGAGAAAGCGCATGCCACCGCATCAACACACATGTTCTCTTCACTCGCTTTCCTTTGCAGTGGGCGGTGCGTGCACACTCTTGCTGGCCACCGCGGGGAAATCTCCTCGACGCAGGCTGGCCATGTGTGATTTGAAGCTTTTCGCACGAATGCCATTCAGCTTCTGTGCCTCAGTTTGATTTCACGGGAGATTACTGCATCACTGGAAGTATTGCCAGCATCTCGGTTCTTGTCCTGTCTCGCACGTCTCAGCGACCACGAAATGTGCGGTTTGTATGAGGACCGCACTTGCAAGCTCTGGGACGTTAACAACGGGCAGTGCATGGAGACCATGCGAGGCCATTCAGATGAGGCACAGACCGCTTTCGACCACGGTCTAACACCGCAGAGCGGACCCCGAAGTGTAGGTCCTGGATGTGTGCTTTAACACAACTGGCAATCGCGGGCGGCCCAGAGAGAGCGAGAGCCATTGCAGTGGAGCTGCTTGACACTGCTTGACGCTGTTCGCAGCGACGACTTGGCCGCTTGAAGGCCTCGTCACTGCATCTGCGGATTGCACGGCTCGGGTTTACAACGCTCGAACCCCGACCAGTGCGGGCAGTGCGCAGTGAAACGCAGTGACACCGGAGAAGCGGAGCGGAGACGTTGCCTGAAGGTCATGACCGGCGCTTGCATATCTATCTTGATAGGCCATGAGGGCGAAATCTCCAAGGTGCCGAAACCCAGCTGTTTGCAGCGCGGATTGCTCGTAACTGTGCTATGCCATCTTGGCATCAGGTTCAGTTCAGCCCAAATGGATACAAGATCATCACGGCATCTAGTGTGTGAGACTCAACAGCCCGTCAATCGGCCAGTGTGTGACCATCAATCTCATTAGGATCGCACCTGCCGCTTGTGGTCTGTCGAGACTGGCGAGTGCCTGCAGGCCAGTCCATGCGCTTTTCGGGGATTTCTGGGAGTGTGCGCGAAGTATATACGGAGTGTGCGCGGTTTCATCAGACTTCTGCGAGCTTGTGCAAAGGTCTTGGAAGGACACAGCGATGAAATCTTCTCGTGTGCTTTCAACTACGAAGGCGACACAGTCATCACTGGGTCCAAGGACACGACCTTCGAATGGCCCTTGCCCTTGTTCGTTTCCGTGAAAGTCTCCGGCGGCAGGACAACACTTGCAGGATCTGGAAGGACAACTTTTTCACTCCGGCCGACGAGGATGATCAGCGGCTTGGAGCATAACAGCGCAACATAATCATCCTTTTTTGAGGATTTGCCCCGGCTGCATGCAGTGCTCGTGAGGTATGACCGGTATGAAGACTGATGCCTCAGAGCTTGTGGGCCTGCTGCGTGCCATGCGCGGTCAGCATTCTGGCTTGAAGCGTAAATCGGCGGAATGGATAGCGATGCTCTGTGCGGTTCGGCTCAGGCGGGATGGCGGGTGGCCCGGCGTTGGAGAGAGAGTTCTCCCCTTGGTGTCGCATGGAGACTGCCAGTCGCGCGGCCCAGAAGAGGCCCAGCGAGAAGGGCCTGAAGGTGCATGTAAAATGCATGAAAAGGGCGAACTGCGATCTTCCAGAATGACAATCCTCGAACTTCCTTGCTTCTTGGTGAGAGTGCCCACTTCCTTCGACACCGTTTCTGGCTCCGAGCAGATCATGGATAGCTGGGCGACACGAGCATGTGTGGAGCACAGATTAACAGAACAGAACAGTGTTGTCTTCCAAGTCAGAGTTGCAAATCGCTTTGACGATCCGTTCCTGGCAGGCTGAGTTGAAGCCCCGGACATGGCTGCATGGCATGCGGCATGACGTTTTGCCTGGAAGGTGACATGAATGCCAAGGCAGAGGCCATGTGGGCCATGCGCGTCGTATCGTTGCCTTTGCTCAACTCACGCAAGCTCCTCCACAGAGCCTTTGAGTGTAGGAGCCAGTGGGGGACCTCCTGTTCGTGTGGGGCTCGTCCGGGATCTCTCTGTTCCGTCATGGCGTTGCAGGCTGATGTGGGTGGTCTGTGCCGGAACCAGCGGGATCTGTCTCTCCTTGCCTTGTTCACTCTCATGTCTCTTGTCACTTGCGTCACTTCAATCTACACACAGCCGGCAAGCGGCCAGGCGCAAGTTTGTAGCGGTGGGTTACAGGTGCTCCGTCGGCTAGTCAGAAACCTGCTTCCTAAATCAGTCACCCAGTTGAGCGATTTTCGTTCAGCGACCCCCACGAAAAGGACCCCCCAGAACCGCTTTGCCTTGGTAATCCTCGGGAGGCCGAGCATGATCCCACAGCGGCAGCCTCTGAGAATGTGAACGCGACCTCGCGCAAAAGGGCACGTGCAGGTTGCGTCCTCTGCGTGTCGCCGAGGTCCGGACCTTCACAAACTGGCTGGCCGAGATGAAGGCGAGCGGAGAAATCTCTGCGCAGCTCTCCACTTTCTGTCTCGCTCTCCCTTTCTCCCTCTGACTCTTCAGGTCCAAAACAACAGGACCGTGCAAGAGATTCTTTCCGAGACGCGATGGGCTCTGTCAAGATGGCAGATTCAACAACACAGATTGCACGTGGTCCAAGCAAGGTCCATCATCCGCGACAGCATAACGGCGAACAACATGGAACTGACAGACTTCAAGCGCCATTCAAGCAGTGCTCGTGCTCGGCGGGCTCGGGTACAGCTGGACGGTCACTGAAGCCAGCGCAGGTATTTCCCAACAGATGCAGCGGTCGCCTCAGCTCCAAAGACAAGGTTGAGTCTCAAAACATCAAAACATCTCAAAGGTCTCAGCTCACCGACCTGCGAGAGAAGTTGACCAGTGCCTTCGGGGAAATCACGGCTTTGGTGAAGCAGAAGCCAGGGCCTCGGCAGGGGGCTCGGCCGACCTCTGAGCCGAAAGCCTCCGAAGGACACAGTCCGACTCGGAGATGATGCAGGAACGTCGGCCCTGCGTCCCTGCCGAGTCTCTTCCTGCGCTTCTACGTTTGCTGTGGAGGATGTGAACACACTGCAGCAGAACCTCTCTCAGAAGACCTACGAGCTCGAAGCTCTCAAGAAATCATATTCCCAGGTGCGGAGCGTGAGTCACAGCACTATTGCTAAGCATTCTGTGACCTTGGACTTGGGCTTGCTCGTGCAAGTGTCGCAGGGTGTCTCTGACAAATGGTCTTTCTCCCCTAGGGATTGCGAGGGTGCCTACGTTGCAGTTGACATTTTGCTAGGGCTGACACGGGTTCCGGCTAGCCATTAGATTCAGAGAGATCAGTGTTAGAGACATGCTCTGGGAGGGGGGGGGGCGTGCAACAACCGGAGAGTGCGATGCCGACGTCGGGCTGGCAGGCGCACCAGCACTTACAAAGCTCCCTCATCCAAATGCAGCCTGGGGCACAGCTGTTGATGCTGTAAGAGCCTCGGTTGCTGCACTCTCCGCGAGGAACCATTTGCAAGTCACTCAGAATGAGGCCGACTGCAACACTTCCTGCTTGGGTTGCTGAGACATGTGTCCGTTGACAGGTGAGTACGGCTAAGTCTTCTTGTGAGCGTGTGCCCGTGCTGCAGTTGGACTGTGTTGCAGCTTTTTTGCCAGATGTGTCAACTTGCGAAGGCTCCAGCTAGGGGATGCCTATACAGACATAGCGCTGGATTCTTGAAGCGCGCATGTGGCCTGCAACCAGGTGCAGCGGGAAAGCACACAACGGTTCTCGCAGCTGGAATCCAGCCTCAAGTCGATGACGGACCTTGCCTTCTTTCACCTCATGGTCTCTGCATTCCATGTCCGTCGTCAGGAGGACTACAGCCGCGGGACAGGGGAGGTTCATAAGCAGATGCGGCAGCAACTCGGACTCTCAACAATCAAGCTCCGCGAGCTAGAGGTTATGCGAGCGACTGTGCCACGACTCACGACTTTCCGTGTCTCCGCGGCTCTGCTGGGTGCCACCGTTCCGGGAAGATTATTGGGTTTTCGTATTTCTTCAGCCTGACTCACATCATAGGAGTTTCGGCAGATAGGATGTGACTCTCCATGTTTCGCAATGGAGCCGGACCAGACGGACCAGCCGGAGCCCGGCAATCCTCAGGCAAGGCAGGGGAGGCAGGGGAAGGGGAGGGGCCAAGCTTGCAATGCTCCGTCTTGGAGGGCTCCACGAGGGGGTCGAACTGGAGAGACTGGCGTCTCGGCATTGGACAAGTCTTGCGAGCTCACCTTCGTGTCCTTTTGTCTACTGCCCTCGCAGGTCCGGGAGGGAAGATGAAAGCGAGCAGTACAAGCACCCCGAGCATGACGGACGGTTCATGCATCTTCATGCTTTCCTTGCTGTAAGTAAGGTTCGGAGACTTCTCCCGCGGTGTTCTGCAGCAGGTGCAGGCGCTGGTGATTTCTGTCGAGGCTCTGAACCGAGAGAACCTTGCATTTCAGGCTGGCATGCGCGACCTGAAGCACAAGGTGGCGGACAAGGCCTTGTCCTTGAAGGAGTCGCCCAAAGAAGCAGCTCCCTCTGGCTCCCGCTGCGTATTTGTCCTCGCAGCACAGGAGGAGCATGAGAGTAAGGCTGCCGAGTACGTCCGTGAACTGGTGGCCGCTGCAATGCAAGCCACTTTCCGGTTGTATGTTTGGCAGGCTCCTCTTTACCACTGTCTCTTCTGAGGCTTCTGACCAGAGCCAGGAGGGACAACACGTCTCCACCGTCGAAGAGTCGAAAGCGACGACGACGGCGGAGCGTTTCTGGACGAGCCTATGCAAGGATGCACGAGGGCTGCAGGCATCGAGCCTTTCCACATCGCTTATGCCTGCTGTTCAGGATGCACACAGGGACCATTGCAGCGAAGAATTGGTTCCCGATCCTTCCAGCTGTGGAACATTGCAGGTCCAGGCTGTGCCCGAAGCCGAAACATCCCGAAGGAGCCTCCTTTGAGCTTTCGTGGGCAGGTGCTGCAGCTTGGCTCTCCGGAGCTCCTGAAAGCGGACGGGAGCCTTGGACCTTCAGAAATTTTCCACCCGACCCATCCTGACCTTTGCCGTGTTTAGGAAGGCGGCCCGAAAACCGGTGCTGCTGCTGAGTCTTCATGGCCGCCGCAGTGGCGCCCTCCGTGACGGCGGCACGGCAACCTTCGAGGCTCGATAACTTCTGAAGCGAGAGATGGAGAGAGAGAGAGAGAGAGAGAAAGAGAGAGCTTGCACTGAGGGGCAGTTGGACCGCTGCTTCCTCCATGCCCTGTAGAGACAGAGACAGAGAGAGAGAGAGAGAGAGAGAGAGAGCTGAGGGAGAGACAGAGAGAAGGCGAGCAAAGACCAGTGAGACCGTTCTCGATACCCTCTCCCCCCTGCTGGTGGGTTGACGTCGCAATAACATCAAAATCCGGAAACGCATGAGTTAGGGGCAATTGAACCCCAAGCGACCCATTCCTGGTCATTCTTGCCGTGATGCCAAGATCCCTGAATAAGACGTTTTAGGGATCCTAAGGTGAAGATCCCAAGCTGTCACACAGATTGTGCGCTCGCATGCGGCGTGGGCGGAGGGGCTGATGCGGCGACGCGGCACCATTTGCGGACATTGCTCTGAGTGTCGGCTTGCTTTGTTCCCGATCTCTGGACACCTAAAGCGGTAAAGCCGGCGGTTTTCGGAGGAAAGCCTTGGCAGTCAGTTGGAGGATCTTCGATGCTGAGACAATTGATAGGTCTAAAGTCTAAAGTGCAACTCTTCCACCCGGCGCTTCAAGAAATAAGCACACATACTGCTCATATTTCGATTTATCTCACCAAGATGCTAATGTAGTGAAGTGACAAGGGTGTACAATGATATGTCAGGCTGAAACATGTTTCGTCATGTGATGGGGCTGGTTGTTCAGGGCTCTTCATCGAACTGGTGGAGACTGGGCTGCCCTGCCCACTGCTGGGCTTCCTCGGCCTCACTTTTTTTTCGGCTTGATTTATTTGTGCCCTGGCCTTCTTCCGCTCCATCCTCTTCGCTCCTTCAGTCCCGGCGTCTTGCATGAGCAGGCCCCCCCTCACTGAGACTGTTCGGAATCTTGTTGACGCTCTTCGAGGCGTCCTTGCTCAGGTGCCGAGTGGGAGGTGGCTGATAGGCCTATAGGGTTGCTAGAGGTACTAGCCCGAAGGAGGTTAGTGAGACTAGGTGAGCCCAGCTGCACTTCCTGCCTTTCCCTCTCGAGGCCACGCCTCATCCTTTCCTCCTCCTCAACCCCTCCTGCTACGCCTCTTCCAGGCCCGGGTGACCCTCTCCCTGTGAAGTGCTGTTCCTGGTATCTTCGCTCACGGTCGACGACCGCCGCCCCCGGCCACCAGAGCTTGGCAAGCGGGCCAGCAGAGGCCGGAGCTGTGCTGCAAGATGTCACGGGACGTGGTTGATCCCACCCCAGAGTGTATATCGTTTTGCGCGGTCGCAGCAACACCACCGTGCGCTACTTTACACCAATCTTTACCACTTCAGCGCTTCAAGTTGTACGTCGGAGCCTCGACTCTGTGTGCCACGGATTTCCGACTGAAGGCCACAGCCGCGTGTACGCCAGGGCTGCTGGTGTTTCTGTTCCGGACAGCTCACCATGGAACTGATTTCAAAGTTCTTGGTGCCCTGGCCCATGCTGCCTGCCTCGGAGCTCCTTGTGGGGCCTTCTTCCGAACCAAGGTTGGAGAGGAGGAGGATGGGATTTTTTGATGGGGAGTCCATTTCGGTGCGTGATAGACTTTGCCGAGGAGGGGGCTGTCCAGCGATGATGTTCCCCCCCACCAGCTGCTAGTGCATGCCGATGCTGCGCGAGCCCTCCCACCTTACTTGCAACCTCGATTGAAGAGGTGGTGCTGCCTCCTGGTGCGAGATCATGCGGCTCAGAAACGTGGGCCACAATTACTCTGAGCTACATCCGCGAGATCGACCCGATCCACAGCGGAGGACGGCCGAAACCTGCAGCAACTGATCCCGATGGCCAGCCGCCGGGGGCGGTTCCCGAAAAAGCCGAAGAGCCCCTCGCTTCCTGTCGGCTTCCCCTCTGCACTTCCCTCCTTAGGCGGCTTTTCTTTTGTCAATACGAGGAGCTCCCGCGTGCTCCTGCTCAGGCTGTTTTGCCGTTGCCGGTGCCTTTTGTACTTTACTCTTGGCTGGCAGTCGCGCTCCTTCTTTGCAAGACCTCCGCCGACAACCGAACCTAAGCGAGCCATGTCGATTAACTACATCGCCGCTTTGTCGAGCGTGCGGTGCCGTAGAACCATTTGCAGTGAGGTTCCCTGCCGCCAACAAGGATCCGGTCCAGTTTCTTGATAACGACCATGACCTCCGCGTCGCCTGCCTGGAGCCCGATGTTTTGCTGTATAGAGTCAAGGACACCCATGGCGACCAAGTGTGCGAGCACCATGCCCGGGTCTTTAATGCTTACAAAAACCCTGGCAGCTTGGTGACCGAAGGTCCAGGAATTACCGGAGTCGTTGCCGTGTGGGCCATCGCTGCTTGGCCTGTTCATCGACCCTTCCTGTAGCATGCTTCCGAGGTGTCTTTCAAGGGGACCACCTGGGTGTTGAAGTTGCCACTGCTGACGCTGGCCGTCTCGCCGCCGCCGCCGCTTACGCCCGCTAGGATTTGCGGGCTCACCGGGTGCTCCAGCCATGGGGCGTCGTGCTCGCAGGAGCTCTTCGCTCAAAGCGCTTGGCTTTAGCTTCGCTGATCCTTTCAGCTGCCACGCCACCAATGCTCCCCACGCTTGCTTGCTTGGCTTGTCCTGATTTGCCGCAGGACCACGATGGCCAATAATGGCTATCTTTGCTCAGGCCTTCCTCCTCAATTTACCGGGTGCCGCTCTCGCCCCTCTGGCGACCTCTCACCTTGCAGCCCCTTGGGATCCGTGTGGCTACGCTACAGATAGCAGTGACCATCGAGCGGCAATCGTGACAGCTGTGGTGCCGGAAGGGGGTCCCTTCACTTCTTTGGCGGTGCTGCGACCAGTGCCAAGCTGTTTTCGCGTGCCGAGCCTTTCTCAAAATGGCAAGGGTGATTTCGTTGGCTGGTCCGTTAGCCCTTTGCTGACCCTGCGTTTTCTGCTCGTTATGAATTATGACCTCGCCTCTGAGGTTTTCTTTCTGCGGCTCCTTCATCTGCTGGAGGCTGGCAAGCTGGATTCTCTGTTGATTTTCTTCTCAGCCACCAGCTCGCAAGCCCTTCCCTTCGTTGGGACCATTGCCGAGATCTTTGCACGAGGGACTGCCAGGCTCGCCCCGAGCCGACCATGAAGCATATGGAGTTGAGAGCACCTTTGTGAACGACCTCGCCCAGACCCTTGACTGAAAATAAAAGTACATTAAGGTCCATGAAACCGGTGCCTTTCGGCGCCTTTTGCTCCCTGAAAGCACACGGCCCGATCCTAGCCGCTTTTTGTTGCGAGGTGTGCGATAAGCAAAGGAAGATTCCAAGCAGATCCTGGCCTTTGCCCTCCTCGCACCCACGCCAGGGCCGAACCCCTCGCCTCTCTGCCGAGGCTCCGGAAGTGAGCCAGCGTTGCCTGGCTGCCCGCCTCCTCCTCTCTCGGACTTTGGCTCCTGCCTTGGATTTCCTGAAAGGCCCCTGCCCTCCAGTGGTCCTTCAAGACTTTCCTTGTGGTGTGGGTTCTTTGCTTCAACGGTGTCTTGGATTGGTGCCGGGCGCAAGTGGGATGTGTCTTTCGAATGGAGCGACTGGAGCCGCGCATTCACCACCCAGGTCCTGGTCGCTCTGCTCACGACGGCTTTGTTCTGGGGTGGCTCGGCTCGCAGCGACGAGAGCCGACCTGGTGTTGCCAAGCGAGTTTTGCAGGCGATCCAGCCGAACACGAGGCACACTGGACCACCCCCAGCTCAGAGAGTCGAGCTGGCCTTCCGCAAGAAACATCGGGGCCAACACCTATGGGCTGGCGGCTCGAGGCAACCATAGAGGAAGCTCAAGTTCTCCGGTGCCGGCGGCCGCGGATCTGGTGGACACGAGGCATCAACATCATGACAGCAGGCGACTTGAAGCTGAAAGCTATGACATGGAAGCCTGTGTCGATTGCCTTCGACACCGAACGGCTGGTTCCTGAAGCCGGGCCGTCAAAAGCTCGACAAGCCGAATGAACCTTTCTACAGCTTTGGGCGACCGGAGCCCAACAAGACGGCCCCCATGGTTGAAGGCGAGATGGATCAAAGGGCCCTGAGACATCTGGGACGGTGGAAAGGAGATGCTTGGCGTCTGGCGCCTTTTCATTATGCTGAGGCCAACATGGTGAAGGTCAGCTCTGGCATCCGGCCTCTGACTGCTGGGGTGCCACTGGCCAACGATCGTTGCTGCAAGGCTCGTTGTGAACCTGGTGGTCCCGATCAAGGCTCTTCGCTCTTCTTTTCGTGCTTCCTTTGCACGCTTGCTTCGCCAGCCGCGCGGCACCGCTCCACCCAGCTGCTTGGGCCATCGCCCGGGTTCCACTCATTCTTCACCCAGACCAGGAGCAGGCGCACATGTGAGGCGATTAGAAGAGCTGCGATCCTTCCAAGCGGGCCCTGCAATCAGAGGACCGACCCGTCGAGAGGATTCCCGCCACAGCTTGGTTGTCCACCATCAGCATGACCTTCTTGTTGGCAGGCAAATCGTACCCAAACCCCTCCAAGGAGCGCAAGGACCCAGAGCTGACTCGACGGAATCTCTCGCTCCAGCTGGTGGCCTGAAGCTGCCGGCTCCTTCCCTCTTGGGCTTCCCCAATCTTCGACAGCTCCCCAACCAGGTCACGGTTGTTGCAACTAAGACCGAAAATCGTTACTTTGTTGCTGTTTCACGTTTTCTTGATGTTTTAGTTTCCACCAGAAACTTTATCCTGTAAGTTTTCTCGTTTGGACCGCGAAGCGGCACTGTTGATTAAAGAGCTGTGGCATGAGGGGGACCCCAAATCCTTTGCGAGCGATACGTTGAGTGGCCTGAGGCCCTAGGCACTTCATACCGTCAGTGAAACCCCATCTCATTTAAAGTTCGAGACTCCATGTTTCCTGGGGTAGATGCGCGGGGTCCTCCTTTGACCACCTCTCTGGTGAATGCACCTGCGCCGCTGGCATTTGAAATGGAATGGCGTGACACAGCCGTGCTGATTATTCTGGGTTCTGGGCTTTCACACCTTCGCACGGTCTGGGGAGCGGTGCGCTGGCCTCGTTTTGCGCCCGCCCGGGGTGCGTGGTGGCCGCTTCTTGCCTTCCTTGGTCGGCTCGCTTTGGCGAGGTCGGCCGCGCACCGTTTTCCTTTTGTCTCACGACAAACAAACTTCGCTCACCAGCGCAGCTCATGACCAAACTACGTGTGGGAGGGGCTTGAGATCCCCCATCATTGGTTTATTGCAGAATGGGTGCACGTACTATATTGAAACGCTGTTATTCTGCAATAAGCCATGGTTGGGGCATATAGGGTCTTGAGGCTTGAAATATTGCCGAATGATACGTTCCACGTAGGATTCTGCAATAAACAATCTTTGTGATGGACGTGCTTATCGATATCTGTGGATATTCGTTCCAACCTATCAAGATTTTCAGAATTAAGCTTTGCGTGTTGTTCCGCCACAACGTTCGATTTTGTAGGTGCCCAGTTTTCGATTCCGAGTTTGTTGTTCGATGAAATTGCACCAGAGTTGCTGCAAAACATTCTGCTCTTCTCGAGGATGGTCATTCTGCAATACACAACAATATGGCCTCGGGTACGCTTTCGCGCTGTCTTCTTTCCTCGGTTTCAGCCTCCCAGATACAAGAGTATAGGGATGGTGTGAGAACATAGCCGTCTGTGTGATGAAGCACGCAGGGCCTACAGCAGTCAGTCAGTTCGAGAACAGGGCGCATCACCGAAGGTTCTATGACATGTAGCACGAAACACCACGCGAGCCTTCACCAAAGCGCGCTGCGCCTCACCTTTCGTCTCCTGGGACAGTGGCCGGCAGAGTGTGGCGGGCTGTGCCGGAATAATTCCAGTTTTGCCGCACCTTTTGTTGGAATTCGCTTCTTCTGGTGTTTGTTCGCTGCGTGCTCTGACGACTGATATTTTTGAGCTACCCTATAAGCCTTTTTTAGCACGCCTTCGCTTAACATGCCTATCTTGCAGTCGATTTATTGCAGCATGGGTCCGTCACGTCCAAATATTGCAGAATATCTTAAGCCACACGTTCAATATTGCATCCGGCAATATTGAGCGTCGCGCCCCTTGAACACATGGGGGATGGCTTGAGCACTAGTGTTTCTACAATTCTATAGAAACAATACACAAGCAGCCAACATCGCCTTTGCCATGCGGGTTGAGCAAGGCTTGATGCCGAAACCGGTACTTGTGAAACCCCTGTAGCTGAAGAAGCTTGCTGGCTATCCGTGAAGTGAAGCGCACGGGAGGGGCACAGGGCCACGCGTCGCCCATGCAAAGCAATGCAGAGCAGAAGTGCAGAGTCGAAGAGCTCCTTAATGTTTGAGCGAGTGCTGGTTGGCACAGCAGAAAAAAACGTAGCGCAGGTGATGGATGTGCTGGGCTCCGATTTGGCGGTTTACTGCTTCGACAGGCTGATTGAAGTTCTCTGCCACATTCTGCAACCTAAACATGGCATAGGCACTGAGTTACCGATCTTTGTGTGAAGGGGCAGTTCCACATTTGCCATCGGAATGGAAGACCAAGCATTCTGCGGTGGTTGCTTCTTGCCTTTGACGTTGTGCCTTGCCTGAACTTAACTTTGAACTTCGTGCGTTGGATTTAATTTCAATGGTCGCAGTCTTACGCGGAAAGATCTGGCTGTGCTGGCTTCGTCCATTGGCCGAACCTTGCAAAGAGCAGAGATGGCGTCGAACCTTGAGCAGGAAGGCAAGCCTTCACAGTATAACATCGTATTGCAAGAGTGCGCATGCAAGCATGTGCACCTGCACGGATGCACTTATGCATGCACATGTTCAATCTACACATTCGCCAAGTGTGATGAAAACAATCCAGGTGGAAGATCGTCATGAGGTCTGTATTTATTCAGTCTAGAGCGAATGATGAATGCTGACCGTGCAGTTTATTGAGCAAGATTGGTTTCCACGGAAGATGAAAGCGGCTAACGAGCAGCCTCTCCCCCATGTACATGCGCGCCCGGCCGCCTGTATCGCCGGCCAGGCTTGAGCCCGAGCCTAGTCCGAACGTGGTTGTAGCATTCCACTCCTGTTGCTGCTGGATGGCGGTATTACCTGCTACTTGTACTTGTAAGCTGCCGTTCTGTCTCCTCTCAAGGCCTCGTGCAGTGTAAGTTGGGCCGCTCGGTTCCGATTTCCTCAGTATCTGGACCATGTTTGGTTTCTTCAGCATGTTCCTTGCGATTGGTGGCTCGGCTCGGCTCTAGAGCCCTAGAAGTCTTTTGGTACAGGCACTTAAGTTTCCTCGCCGGTGCTTCAAAACCGTACATGATGCTTGACGAAGATGGGAAATGCAAGCACCCGATTCCCAAAACGTGCAACCAAAAGCTAGCGAAGGTGGAAGCAAACGGCGTGTCTGCAACATGACGGGAACCGGATTGCACAGCAGATGCAAATTCGATTGGACAAATCTAACGACCTTGTTGACGCGACTAAAGTTAAAGCGGCAACACGGTGGCAATGCCTGCGAAGCATGCCCATTGAGAGTGTTTGAGGCAGGAGAGGTAGGATCCCTACAGATTCCATATAGAATGTTGCAGAGAGCGCGTAGAACCTTCATCCGAAAACCATATACAAACCGACCCAAAATCCTGACAGAAGATGGCACGTCCTATTGCATCAGTATGTCTTATGCCACGACATGATTGGTGGGAGGGCAATGCAGCCTGGCCGATAGACAGACAAAGAAAGACAAGAACATTGAAACTCTTGACCTGGTGACACGCCACCAGCAGAATGCATTCGTAGCTTGTCGTTTGCACCAAGGCAAGGCTTTTACGGTGCTACACCTGCCGGGGTTGATTTGTACAAATGCTGCAGCGCCCATGAGCACTCAGATATTGGTAGGACCATCATCTATGAAGTTGCGCCCACGTGCCTTGCTAGGAGGGCTGGTGATGATGGTTTGTTTTCCTTTGGGGGTCGGTTGGGTATGTTGAAAACTGGGCATTTCATTACTAGCTTGCAGGCGACCCGCAAAAAAGCTCCTCATCGAGTATGCTATCATCGGCGAAGCAAGCTAAAATCACTGTGAGCTGGGTCGGGAGAAAGTGGCGGAGCCACGGCCGTGCAGCTATGAACCACGACTGCATGGTGGCTGAGCAAGGTATACTTGCTGACAATTGTCGGCCACCTTCAAACCTAAAGCCTGACTGAGAGCAAGGATGCAGGGGCGGCCCAACCAACCCCAAGCAGGAGACTTGCTGCAGCAATCCTACGTACTTTCTGACAGTAACGGCTGACCTTCAACGATCAAGGCTCGGACAGCCACGTGCCGGACGATTCTGGGATGGCATGCGCAACAGCTTGTACCAGCAAGTGTTACTCGGTGCATGGCAAAACTGTTTTTGGAAGAAAGAGCGAAAGGAACGAAGAAAGCTTGACTTTCGAAGAGTTCGGGTGAGTTCGGGTTCAGGTTCAGCACCGAACTCCGGCTTCGCCTGCTGCCGCTCGTGTTGATGCGTGGTAAGGAAAAGCTGGAGCCTGGCGATCTCACCGGTGCTAAGCTTCCCAAGGCCGCGCCTCCCCGCCCGCCGCGAAATGAAGCTCTCCATGGCAGGTTCTAAGCTTTGAAAGCTCGAGGTGCAGCCCGGCATCGTCGTGTTGCGACTGACGCTGCATCTGACGAAGTCTCCAGCCAAGCTGTGTTTCCGTCCTTACAGCTCCCGAAAGCCCATCGTGGCCGAACAGAAAGGCCGGACTGCGTGCATGTCCTTCAAAGTGCATGAGCTAACCAGAGAACTCCATATGCTTCCTAAAATGGACACTGCTAGCCTGCTGGATGAATTTCTCGCAAAACGTAGTAACCGTTGAACAATGGAAGACGACGACCCACTCCTTGCATCTGATGTGCGAGCGATATTTACACTGTCAACAGGTCGCACAACCGAATTACGCTTCCTCGAGTTCCGTGTGCCACGAATCCGAAACTCCGAAACCTTCTCCGGTCCAATTTGGTCACAGCTTTTGCGGATTTCTTTACGACCGGTTCGATCCAGTGTCTTTATTTCCGAAGCACGCCAAAGAACGTGCTCACAACGGAACACGGAGAGACTCGAAAGACTGATCAATCCCAGGTAATGTAACACCTCTTGTAACGATGTCGGCCGACCCCATTCAATTTGAAGCTTTCCGGACTAATTCAGTCTTTTAGTGTAGACTTTGTCTGAGGCTTATCTGACCGGAAAACTTAATTGTAGCTTCTCTTTCAAGGGCCTAGGGTTCCCTGAAACGGTCAAGGCCGCAAATAGGAGCAAATGCGACTGTAGCTGAGGGCCTGAGGCTTTTGACCTGCAAGCTTTACTGGCCTTACCACCTTACCGCCTCACCACCGCCTTACCATGACCCCCCACCACCACCACGACTACTAGTACTACTAGTAGTACTGGTAGTACTACTACTACTACTACTACTACTATTACTACTACAAGTACGATTACAGTAAAAACCACAATAATAACAACAACAACAACAACAACAACAACTACTACTACTACTACTACTACGACTACTACTACTATTGCAACTATTGCTACCACTACTGCTGCTGCTGCTGCTACTACTACTACTACTACTACTACTACTGGTGCTACTACTACTACTACTACTACTACTACTACAACTACAACTACAAGTACGATTACAGTAAAAACCACAATAACAACAACAACAACAACAGCAACAGCAACAACAACAACAACAACTACTACTACTACTACTACTACTACTACTACGACTACTACTACTATTGCAACTATTGCTACCACTACTGCTGCTGCTACTACTACTGGTACTACTACTACTACTACTACTACTACTACTACTAGTACTACTACTACTACCTGGTACTACTACTACTACTACTACTACTGCTACTACTACTACTACTACTACTACTACTACTAGTACTACTACTACTACTACTACTACTACTACTACTACTAGCCAACCCCCCTACCAACTACACCTCGTCTTCGTCATCAACATCAACATCATCAACATCATCCAGAACTTTCGATCAACATCATCCAAAAATTATCATCAATATCATCCTAAAATCCTCCTCCAACACACTTGCTCTTAAACATGTTCAGGCAACATCCATTTTACTCGGTATATCCAGCACTTTCGTCATGTAGGATCATCTTGTGAAGCCTCAAAGTCGCCTTGTCGAGCTTGCAAACTCGAGCTTCGGATTTTGGACTTTTTGGGGAGGTGGTGTGTGCGCGAAACAGTGTCGTGACCATCACCGGAAAAGGTTTTCCCCCACCCAATTTAGAGTTTTCGCTGCAAGCCGTTCGAGACACCAAAGTTTAGGACGCACAGTCCAGAAGTAGCGGTGGCAAGTACATAAGACAGTACGACATCACGAAAGTACTGTAAATACCGAGTAAAACGGCTCTTGTGGTGATATTGTTGGTTGCGTTTGCGTAACATTGTCGTCATCATCATCCCCCCCCACCCCCCACCACCACCCCCAGAAGCAAGTCCAAAATCAAGAGGCCGAGTTTGCAAACTCATCAAGAAGATTTTGAGGCTTCCTATGAAGATCGTACATGACGAAAGTGCCGCAAATACCGAGTAAAACGGATGTGCTTTTAAGATGGTTTAGAGCAAGTGTAGTTGGTAGGGCGGCGGGGCGCCTCCTACTACTACTACTACTACTACTACTACTACTACTGCTACTGCTACTACCGTCACCACTACCACAACCACCACAACCACTACCGCTACCACTACTACTGCTGCTACAACGACTACGAATACGACTGCGACGACTACGAGGACGAGACTACGACGACTATTACGACGACAACTGCTACTACGACTATCACAAGTGTGTTTTTGCTCATAATCTTACTTCTCCTCCTATTCCTACTCTTACTCTCACTCCCACTCCCACTCCTACTCCCACTCCTACTCCGAGTGCTACTACCGCTACTACTATTAGTACTACTGACTACGACCACGACTACAACTACTTACTACTACGACTGCGACTACGACTACGACTACGACTACGACGACTTGTGCAAACATTCTGTGTCTTTTCAGACACGGCCATCCGCTGCGCAAGGGCACGTCAGCGACCCCTTCAGCGTTCTCAATGCGGCTAGCAAGGCTGTTAGTCGAATCGGCTTCGCTCTGAAGATGGACCTATGGAAGGCTCGCAGGGAAACATGTGCAGGCCAGTGGCCTCAGTTTTTTGCAGCTAGTGAAGTCTCTCGATATAGGGGCGAGGATGGAGTGCAGTGAGCGGGCGGGGCTTCGAGATGCTTTCAGTCAGAGAGGGAAGGAATGGGAGGAGTGTCGTGTTCTGTCGCATTGCAGCAAAACCTAGATGTGCATTCGTTGAAGTGTCGAATCAAAGTCGTCAATTGACCTGTTAGGTCCTGCATCCCAGTCAATGTTTATTGGCTGGTCATTTGAGCGGCCATGCAAAATTTTGTATGTGTACGAACCACAGCGGTATCTCCCGCGGTGATTGTAGAGTGCGACAAGTTTGAGGTGTTCATTTGCAATAGTCTGGAAGCATAAGCAAGACGAATGTGATTTTTTACGATGCTAGCATGTAGGTTCTGTCGAGGCAGGCATTGAAGGGATTGTTTTTCGGAAGCATCTTGAGCGGCTTTGCATGAAACACACGTGAGCTGTCACTGCGCAGGCTGCTGCGGACGAAATGCGTGAAGATGTGGTTGTGTGTCCTCTACTTCTGGCATGGTGGACGCTGACGGTGCTCGCCGCGCCGCTATGGAACTTTTGCATTTCTCCGCACACCCTTTTTGTTTCTAGGTTGGAATAGTTGTGGAGAGTTGTGCCAGCCTCCTCACAGCCGAAAGGATTTGGCCGCTGCTGTTGAATTTGATTCTGGGGCTGTTCGCATGGAGACTGGGCGGGTTGGGTTTCCGAGAAGCGCGCAAAGTGCAACGGCAGCTTTATGTCGACGAGGATGGTGTTGCGAGCAAGGACGGTCTATGTGTTGTGCTGCATGTGCTGCATCGACCTCTTTCCGTAGAAAATCTGATTACGGGGTTCGCACTCGTCAAAGCTTCAATGTTTTCAATATTTCTCTTCTTGTCGACCGAGATTTGTGTCCGTCCTCATGTAGCAACGCTTTTGGCCGAGCCGCGGAGTCTCGGGCGAGGTGGTAAAGGCATTTGGGTAGGGACTTCAGCCCCCCAATCTAATCTGTGGCGGTTTCAGTCCTGTTGCTTTGACACATGACATTTTCGAAAACGAGGCCGTCTGCAGTCTTAGTTTGTTGCTACTGGAAGATTGTGCTGGGACAAGTACAGCTTCCGCACAAGGCTCCAAAAGCCCTGAGCCCAAATAATGCTTGCTCGAATGCAGATTGTCAGGACTTGGTGAAGGAAGCGTTTAAAACACAACTCAGCATTATGCAGCTTACGGAGACGTTGAACGAAGCTGCTTCACAAGTGGTCCGGCTCTGAGTGGTAGGCGTTTCTGAAGAGGTTTTCGCAGCCAGGTCTAGCACGGCACTGCAATGGGGTCCCCTGGTGCCGGGATAGAGTGCTGTTTTGAGATCGTGGCGAGCAGCAACGGAGCAAGGGCAGCAACACGATTCTAGGCAACGGTGACTCGCAGGAGAAGTTGAAGTTTGTTTTCGGGCTGGAAGACCCATGTCTGTGATGCTCTCAGCATGATGGGCCGTGGAATCCGTGGACTGGCGGTGGGGTGTGGCTCTGGCTTTGGGCAGGTCCAGCATTTGCTTCGTGCTTGCGCTGTTGGCATCACTGGTGCTGTGCGTTTTAACCGCCATCCTGTACTGGCTGGTGCAGTCCGGGGCGTGGAGGCCCGGAGGCTGCGTGAAAAGGATCCAGCTTCACTCAGCGGTGCCATGCGGTGCCAGGTACATCCTCTGGCTCCCGGGAAGCTGTGTACTGATGCCGAAGGCATGGAGGTTCCCGGATAAGGTAATCCGACCTGCTTCCTGTACACGCAGGCGTTGCGATCACCCACCTTCCAGTTCGTGCAGAGACTGGAAAAGCTGAGACTGGAGTTCATGGGCGACGATCTGGACAGGACCGGGCCAGCAACAACCCACACCTCTCGACTGACCCATACTCTTGCGAGCAGGATCGTCCGTGGCTTTTGGCAACGCATGCCTGATGGCACGGAGGCTTTGCAGCATTCTTGCTAGATCAAGCGCAAACAATGGTTTGCACGGGGGTTTGTCCATGGGACAAGCCTGGCAAGCTAGACTTTGTTTTATTTACACTTTCTTGCACTGTAGACATCTCTTGGATGGTACAAACGATGTCTGGTTCGTGTGTATGGGCGTGCTGTGAAATGCATTTGTGATCAGACACTGATCACCAGAGCGTCAGCAACCGGTAGCAAGAGCGGCCGCGATGGGAAACACTTGCCAGCGCATTGTGGGCCGATAACAACTGATGCGGGAAGCAGTGTTTCTGAACCATTCTGCATTCAGCCCTCCAAGTCGAAGCCGTCTTGTTGCCTAGTCGGCTCGTGTATGTGATGGCTGACCAGCTCTTCAACTCACGTGCTGTTGCAATGCGTTGCAATGCGGCAGGGGGGGATCAGCTTTGGTATTCTGCCAGGCTTCCCACCTCCACCTCTTCAGGCACCATGTGCTTTGTGACTAGATTGCCGACAGCTAGCGGGGCTGAGCCTGCAGAAGCTCGCTAAACCGAGATGCCAGATCTGGTTTCGTTCAGAGTCGGTGCCCAATGATGGTGTCGACGTGCAGTTCCACCAGACTCGCGCTCCTGCGTTTCAAAAAAGTTCCTGTGGGAGCTTGTTCGCTCAAAACTCTAGAGCCATTGCAGTCCAGTGAGGCTGAAGGACGAGATCACAAGGCGGCGCCGAAGCAGGGGCTTGTCGGAGGCAAGAAAGACCGCGCTTTGCTGACAGGATCCAGCACTCCTTGACCTCGGTAACTTCGGAGTTCGAGGATTGGTGGTAGGGTTTCCACTGACCTGTGGTTTCATTTGCTTCTCTGTGAGGAGCACAAGCGAGCGTCCACTTCCACGCACAACAAGCTTCAGTCTCAGGCTGGAGCCCTGAAGGGCTTCCCCTAACCCATTGCTTCTCCCATTCACATGGCATAGCTTACGTCTACGTGCTTCTGTATAGTTCAATATTTCATACTGACATGCTGTTAAGTGGTGATACTTGATGTGACGGGATCGTCTATGAACTTATCTAATTGGTAAGCTGTGACAGAATATGACATCTGATGGTCGAAGATAAAGCCATAGATCATGGTATCGCACGATCCTTGCGAATTGCTCTTCCAATACTTCCCTCATGGACGTCCGTCGGTGTGTTCCAATCTCAGATTCTGTCGACCAGCTTACGACAGTGGGGTTAGATTCTGTTAGATGCGGCTAAGGCCCATGGCCACATTCTTATCCGTCTTGCTTTGTTTTCGCCGCCGCAACCGCTTCTGTGACTTTGAACTTCGGCGCCCGCGTGTCGCACTTTTAATTGTTGGGCTCGAACAGCCGGGCTTTTGTTCCGTCTGCTCAAATGCCTGGTACGTGTCAGGCATTCCGGTCTCATTTACGTCGACGACTTGCTTTCACTCCCCAGTCGCCCCTCTCTGGGCTTCCGTCATCGTCATCTTGCTGCTTTGTTTGAAAGTTCCGAGGAGTTGGCATAAGGGCATGCTGTCTCCGTGCGTTGTGTGCATAGACGGGCAACTGCACTTAATTGCCTTACAGTCCGCCTTGACCCGGCCAAGCTGCTTTGGCTTTCTTCCCTTTTCCGCTCCGACATTCCTTCACAGCGGTGTCCACCCTGTCTCCGGGATCTCCGGGCTTGCGGCAGCGCCCCTGCGACAACGTGTCTTGTTGCGCTCCGTCGGGGTCGCTGTCCTCCCGCCCGCCTAAACACCGTTGCGCACACCTTCTGACATGTCACGTGCGGTTCCGGAATCCCGTCGTGATTGAATTTGGGTTCAATCTTCGTCTACGTCCGGGGGCGTCTGCCGCCTGCCTGACTTCGCATGTCAAGTCATTCGCATGTGGCTGGATTTGATCGCTTCCGGCTCGGATCTCCGTTCGCTCATGCTTCCTCCAAAGTCGAGTGCGTGGCATTTGTTGATGCCTGTGCAGGTGCTACATCCGTGGGTCTGGGTGGCTTTGTCCGTCTTCCGGACTCTCGCTAGTTGTTCTTTCAGAGCATGTTTCTCGTGAGCAGATGCTTGCTCGCTTCCCTTGGCTCCCGCCCGACTGTTCCTTGCAGTCTTTTGCTCAGGGAGCCTTGCTCCTGATGCTCCACCAATTTCTTTTGACATCTGTCCTGTCACATTGTTTTCCGGTCCGACAATTCTGCATCCGACGCGGCTTCTTGGAAGGGCCTTAGCATGGCCAAGGGTTAACCTGTGTGTTCCGCGCTTTCTTTGCGCTGCAGGAACTCTTCTGCATTTGTGCCCTCAGCCGGGGGTATAACCTTCCAACTTGGGGTTCGCCTCCGCCGAACAGTTTGTTGTTATTGGACTTTGCCCTCGGGACAGCCGGTCATGCTATTCCCGTTCGCAGATGCTTTCCAGGGCTACCTGGCCTCTTGATTCTGCTTGTGGCCGTTGCTTGATGCTCATTTTGGGAGGTTCCCCTGTTAAGGTCAGGCGTGTGCGGCTCGATCATCTTTGGTCCGACCGCCACAAATGAACCGGGTCCCCGACCGGTCCCACTGCTCTACCAATTTCTGTTTCACAGACTCCGGACTTCTACGCAACGGTGTAAAACAAGACTGCCCGCCTGCACGAAGTTCCTTCCGTTTGCGGGTGTCTTAGGCTTAGGGTAACGGACTAGTAGGGTGCATTTCGATTTTCCCGCCGCCTTCTCCGCGCTCCACCCTCTGACGTTGTGTCGCGGTTTCGTCCGTCTGACGTCCGGCACTGGGCTTTTGGCCTCTGGTCTTTGACTAGTTTTCGAGGTCCGCTGTCCGTCTTCCTACTGCTAGTTCAGTTTCACACGTTTTTCTCTGTGGCCTGTCCGACCGCCACAAATGAACCGGGTCCCCGACCGGTGCCACTGCCCTGCCGAATTCTATTTCATGGACTCCGGATTTCTACGCAACGGTGTAAAGTAAGACTGCCCGCCTGCACGAAGTTTCTTCCGTTTGCGGGTGTCTTAGGTTCATAATGGGGTAACGGACGATAGTCCGACCGAACAAGCAAGTAGGAACCGAGGAATTGACGAAAGCATGCATCGACGGCAGGAGTTGACAACACGCTTTCTGTGTGCAAGCTTGGATGTGTTGATGGTTGATGCACAGACGCGTCTTGCCGATTGTTTTCTGTTGTTATGCAGGTTTGGTCAATCGAAGAATTTCGCAAGGCTCAGGACGAAATCTCAGATATTGTTGGTGATAAATGGCAATAAAAAATCTGGCAAATACTCTGGCAGGAGGCCGCGTCGCCTTCTCACCATTCGCAAAAATCTTACCAGCCCTTAGTGGCTATGACGGCGGGTGTCTGAGACTCTGCTGCTTGGGCGGTTGCGAAGCGCAGTTGCGTTGTGCAACACGCATGTGAGGCCTCACAGGGGTCGCTCTACCCGGGAACAGGGTGGAAGTTGGCTAAAGTTGGAGGGGGCAGACATGCATGTTCTTAGGCGATTCCTCGGCCAGGTCCGTCAATGTTCCTCAGCCTATGAGCATCATCCACGCGTCGTCGCCCAGGAGGTGCGTGGAGGATTCATCTTGCCGCCAAGCAGCCTTCTGATAGACAGGTCGCCGTCTTTGCCTCAACCTGTTTCGCCTCATTCTCTGTCGGGTTCTATCGTTCCGAGCATGTCAGGCCTGCTCTGGTGAATTCGTGTGACTTGACCCCACGACACATCATGGTATTGAATGTCCAGGAGCACTGGTGCCAAACACTGTGAGGACCCAGGGCATGGCAAGTAGCTTTAACAGTGTCCATGCCCTGTTGCAGATTCTTCTTGATCCATTTGTTTACCCTTGTTTGACAGAGTTTGTTTGTTCCCGTATGTACCCATCCATGTAGCTTGCGGTTGATCTAAATCTAGTCTATCTATCTAAGTGTTCATGGTGCGGCCTCTCTGATCTAGTTTGCATTGTGCTTTCGTACATACAGCTATCTGCCCACCAACTCCAGTTGTCTATCCATCTCTCTGCTCAAATGCCGATCATGTTGAGGTGCCATGTAACAGCTGCAGGAGTTCAAACCTCGCAAAGGCAGCACCAGCTGTAGTATCCCAGACAGTTCCGTGCGGAGCTCAGACGCTCAGCCAATCGCCGTTCTCATTGCAAGAGCGCACGCCTGAGTGCATGCAGAGCTGCCCTCGGCACCAATTCGGCAACTCATTCGGGGACACGATTCAACGACATGGTTGTTTGGCGACGAGGATGATAAAGAAGAGGAGGAGGAAGATGAGGAGGAGGAAGCAGGAGGAGGGCATGCTGTGGCAAAAAGGATAGGCAGTCCATGGTCTCGAGCAGTGCAGTGCTGTCACCGACCTGATCTGCTTGTGGGATTCCATGCTGTGACTCGGCTGTGACCTTAGTTGTTGAGGTATATTACAATGCGATGAACCAGTGAGCTGTGGAAGCTGTTTCACTTCAAAAATAAAGATGCGATGACATGAGACTCTTGCTTGTGATGAACGACAAGTACACACTAAGTGCCCTTACCCGGTTTCAGGCCCGCGAAAATTTGGCATGTGTTGAGGGAGACTTGCATACGTGCTGAAAGCGATCAATGGGGAAGCTTCAGCTGTCTCCCTTGACGTGCCCCTGTGCACGTGAGTTGGAGCCGCTTGCCACAGAGATGTGCGCTGGCAGCTAAAGGAGTTGGGGCGTGGAGTGGAAGACGGAGCCCATGGAAGACTTGTTGAACATGTGCAACATGTCTATTCGTGCCGCGGCTTCAGCGGGTCATCGTCAAGGCTGATGCCATGGCCTCGCAAGCGAAGTTCTCGTTCCTGAATTCTCATGGAGGTCAGGCCTCTAGCACAAGGGCTATTGATGGACAACATCCTGCCACATTTCCACATTTGGTATTTGAGGGGTTTGTCGGGAAGTTGGATCTGGTGATTTTCTGTTCTCGGTGCTCGGTGGCCTTAGCCTCCGGCATGGCAGGCCCAGGCAGCCGACAACTACATGGCTTCACAGGCAGGCGCCCCCAAGAAGGGCTTAGGGATGCCTAGTTCGTTTTGCGTAAGCGTTTTGGCCTTTGGGCTTCTGCTGGTTCTGCTGAGATCGAGGCCTGAAGCCGACATGTGTGAACGTTTGAAGTCTGAGATGTGTGGCAGTGGAGCCGTGGAGCCAAAAGAATCAGGCCTTGATCAGTCAGCTCCCGCTCGAGCGGTGGACTCAGGGGCCCTACGTGGCACTTTGTTTTGGGGGGCTTCGCTTCCGAGTCTGCCTCGCTGCCGACGATGAACATCTCTGCGGGGTCCGGAAACCTACGAGAGAGACCCCTGTGAAGCGAGCGAAGCATAGTGAGTAAAGGATGTGTCTCCGCGAGGTTTTCGATGAAGCTAGGCAACCAGCTCGGCTTCAATGCCCGCGGGCCCAGAGGTTCTTTAGAAGTGCTCTTGCGGAACCGGAGGCGGTCTGAACGCAAACTGCCCTTTGGGCAGCTTGTGCGATGCACGGTGAGCTTGATGTTTTCGGCCCCTCGGAGGCTTATGCCAATCTACGTGGCCCCTTTGTGGCCCGTGAAGTGCCCAGAGTCTTTGCTTTGTGCCTGGAGAAAGGGATCTTCGTCTAGGCCGCGACATTCCGATACTGCCGAAGAACCCGCGGGCCATAGAGAGGGAGATCTACAAAGCACGCGTGGAGGCACTTCTAACGTGGTTTAAGCATGCTCGCGAGGGCCTCTTGCGCGTGCTTTTCTCGTGCAGGAAGTCTGGGTGATGCCTGAACGACTTCGCCCAGAGACCTTGCCACCAGCAGGGCAACAGAAGGCAGGGCCTCAGTGGCAAGCAAGTGTTTTCACGAGTCGCATTTTAAAACGAGATGCGGCGAGCCTAGTGGTACAAGACCTGCGGTTGACAGCTGGCGGCTAAGGAGCGGCGCATGGGCAAGAGGATGGTCTCCGAAAACACGAACACCCTCAGCCCTGCGCCAAGTCAGGGCTGACTTTCGAACAAGTTTTCGAGCTTGCAAAGCGCTGCTTACCCGTTGTAAGCACTATGTAGGTCCGTGATCGAAACACCTTCGTTGGCACTGCAAGCTCTCCATTTTCATAGCGACCTCCAGACCATCTAAGGCCATGTGGATACCTTAATTTGGGGCTCAGACATTGACAAGCCTGCAGCTCAGCCTTCTGCGCACGTTCCGGAGGCCTTGTGTGGGGGGCCTGTACTCTGAGGAGTGACGGACTTCTCAAGCAATGCGACTCCGAGATTTACCGGGGTGCTGCCGGCCTGAATGCAAAGGCTCGTTTCAAGCCCGGCCCCGGCTGAACCGCCCCCCTCCTCGGCAGACGCAGGCAGAGCGCACGCCGATCTACGGCTACATCCCTCCCGTCTGTTACCGAACCTTCGGCCCCGTCGGCGGCTTTGTGCCAGCGCTGTGTCTCGGATTGCGTGGGCTCTGAAGTATCCGCAGGAAGGGCCCGTTCGTTTCCAGTGAGCGGTTTATTCCGCAGGGGTTAGATCGGATGATAGAGTGTGCGAGAATCAGGTGCATTCAGGTACCATAACAACAATTATCCCCATGATTGTTTTCTCAGTGCCTACCTTTAATCCATGCCACGCTTTAGCAATGAGCCAAGTCTCAGCTCAGCAATTGCCGAGGATGAGAGGGAGATTCCCCCCCGAATGGGGGCGAAGCGTAATTTGGTCCTGCAGCCAGAAAAGACGCGTTTTCGAGGAATTTGGATTGCCTCTAGTTGTCGCTTGTGTTTGGCATCGTCATGCCTGTGGTCACGTTGTTGTTGTTGTTGTTGTTGTTGTTGCCTCTGGGCTCCACAGAATACTACCTAACGCCTCTTTGCTGGTTCGCTTCGCCGTGACCTTTTTGAAGCGGGTCCCCGTGTTGGCTCGGACCCTCAGCAGCTCCAGGTTCCTGAGCCTTCCTCTCTCTGCCTCTGCTCGCTCTGAAGGCACCATCTCGCCCTTTGACGCCGTGCCCGCGCTGGTCGAGCGCCCCAGGCGCTGTTGGCCCTCCTGCGGACGCCGCAAGGCACCCGACTGCGAGCGGAAGGATGCGGCTGTTCGAGTCACTGAGAAGCCCGGGTCGATGAATTCGGAGGCTTCGCCAGAGATGGGCACCCCAGAATGGGGCGCTGATGTCGGAGCCACAGAGAAAGGCTGCAGCAATCGCTGAGTGGTCCGAACGTTGGGACTTCGGGTTGGGGCCGTTATAGGGCTCTCCAAAGCACAGGGATGAGAGGAAAGGCTTGTTCCCAAGGCCGGTGGCGGTCCGCCATCTCCAGAGGGCACGGAGCTCGTTGCGAGGCCACAGGCGACAGGCGGCTTTCGCTTCCGCTGTGCGAAAGGTCGTGGGGGCAACAGTCCACCACAGCGAGCAGTGGCCTCAGCTGGGAGATGACTCGAAGTTCGCGAGCCGGAGAGGTTTCAACGTTACCGAGGCTTTGATGACCAGCCCGCGAGGTATGAGAGGCAGTGTATGGCAGTGTGGGGCAAGTGCAGTTGCAAAGTGCAGCACCTGGCTTTGGGTCCTTCGGTGACCAGGCCGAGGAGGCCCTGGGCGGCGCACATCAGAAACAAATGACTTGCTGGAAGAGGCCGGGACGGCAGATCCTTTTGCAGGCCGCAGTGTCGCTGCTGGCAGGCTCCAGAGATGGAGCAGTACAGCAAAGAGAACTTACCTCCGGATCGCAACTCAGAGGTTTACGTTGTGTGCAGCTTTCGTCAGGCGGTTGAATGAACTTACAGGCCTCAGAGCACGAGATTGAGTTCATAGTACCGCATGCCGCTTCTTTTCCGAGTGGTGAAGCAGTAGCCTCAGCGCGCCCGACAAAAGCTCAACCTGGAAGCTGCCAATCTATCCTCGAAAATGCTCTCCCGTCCGCAGAAAGTGCGATCGCCACCGCTGATGGTGCGAAATTTCAGATTTAGGCTGGTTGCCATTTCTGATATCGGAAGCTGCAGAGATTGTGTGTGTGTGTGTTGTCGCGAAATCTTGCAGGATACTGTGCTTTCCATCGGGAACGTCGAGTGCTGGTGGAACTGCGGCCGGCTCCTTACATTCAGCACTTCCTGGCAATGCTGTCAACCGTCTGACGGAGTTTCGAGGTCAGTGCATTCGTGGAGGCCGATCCTCCGGAAGGCGCAGACTTCGACAACGATCTCTTCTGCTCTGCTCCGCTGTCCTCTAAAAGCAGCTGAAAGACACAAGGACTTGATCCGCGGTGGATTTTCCAAGGTGTCAAATACCAGGCTCGGAGCGTACCAAAGCCACATCGGCTCCGCATGAGATTTCTGCAGGTCGCACTCGTGAACTGGCTAGACTATCGCAGAAGTATCGTCAAGGCATTGCTCCACCCTTCTCTCAGTATTTACGCCCTGTTGCGCCCTGTTGCAGAGCGACACGTGGAGTTTCTCCAAGGCAGGCACCTTCTTAGAGAGTCAATCTGGATTCGATCCGTCTTCCAATCAGGATGGAATTGATAGAGGTTGGCACGACATGGTGAGGACTGGGAGTTGGGAGTAGGCCTGTCGAAGCTCTGAGCCTGATCCTGGCGCATCCGAAATGAGGGGGCGGGGGCCGCGGGGCTTCACGGGGCTTTGCCGATGACATGGGTTGTCGACACCGAAGATTTGCGGTGCTGAGACAGTGGAAGTGCGATTGTGCAGTTTGGTGCAGAAAGGCCTCTCGCCCCGTTCTTCATTGTGGCTTGCAGGACGTCTGAGTTGTCTCAGGACACCGGCTGGTTAGGCTGGAGCTGAAGCCTGATTATCCGACCTATTAGCTAGAACAACGTGGATCATGTCCGGCACAAACCTGGTGTTTCATGCAAAATGCTGACGCCAGGCCCACGTGACAGCCTGTGCTTCCGAGCATGCGTTTGTGTTCGGCAGGCGAGCTGTGTTCGCGAAGTAGGAAACGACAGTGGTGAGTATGGCCAGCTTACTGATGCTTCTTGGATTTCTGTGGGAGACTCCGCCTTGGTCAGACCCCTGATCTCTTCTTGCAGGCTGACAGTGTCCAAGCTGGTCAAGACTTCAACTGTAGGACGCGGGAAGAGTTTCGAAACGGAATTCGCTGTGCGATGCTCGCTACATGCTTGTGTGAAAAGCCGCGGAAAACGTCAGGAAAGAAACCGGATACGTCGGCCTGATGAACCACGGCGCAACGTTTGTCTTGCAAGTTTAGAGCCCGAGAAGGGAAGCTCGGAGTGCATTCCGGCCAGGTGCTACATGAACGGTTTGCTGCAAAGCCTGTTCCATGCCGGAGAGTTCAGGCATCGACTTCCTTCTGTTTATTTTCACCCCACTCCCGGATGCGGGCTCAGGCGAATCGTTTACTCCATTGAATGCGAGAAGGAGGAGAAGGCCTCAGAGCATTCGGAGCATACTTTTCGATTCTTTTGCTTCGGTGTTACTGTTCGGCTTCTTGAGGAAGATGCGCCGATGGAGAAAGCAGGCGACACCGATGCAGAAGGCTTGACTGCTAGCCTGAACGTGATGTCGACCGTTTTCAGATTGCGTATCTCATCTATTGTCAATGGCTCAGGAGATGTCTCCCTGATCCAGGCTGGGCAGTATAAGTGCATGCTTGAAGGTTGGACCAATGACTCTTCCAGGCCTTGCAGAATGTCTTCTACAGACTGCAGACCTCCGAGCAGGCACATACATGTTGGGCAATACCGAGGTTGACTAGCTGCAAGGATCTGCATAATTTCATTAGTTCTTCATTGTTCGTGATGCCTGCGAGGCTGTCAACTGCAAGGAGTTGATGAAGTCCTTCGGCTGGGACACCACAGATGCATTCACCCAGCACGATGCGCAGGCCACTGGTAGTGTTGAAGGGTAAGAAAACGAAAGAGACCTTCCTGAGGATGAATAAAGCGGTAAAGGAGTGTGAGAGCAGTGTGGCCAGGAGCTGAACAGGATCTTGTGCGATCGACTGGAGGCCGCATCCGAAAGCACTCGTGAAGAGCTTCGCATCTGGGAGCACTTTCCCCGAGTTCTTGGTGCAGGAGCAGATGAAAGGTACTCCAATGGATGGTTCCATCAAGAGGCTCGTACTAAAATCGTCAGTCCTCTTTCTGCCTGCCCTTCTCAGTCTGCTCATACGTGAGTCGCTCAAAGGCTCTTCGAAGGCGAGATGGAAAATTACATCGAGTGCCTAGATGTGGCTAGGTTGCGTCGAGAGATCAGCAGGTTTTGAGGTGGAGGAATCGAATACGTCCTGTGGTGTTGAGGTTTTTCAGGCCTTCCACGGGAGGAGTGGGCACTTGGTGTGTGGGCTTTTTAGGGGTGGTTTAGGACGCATCTGATGAAGATGAAGCTGTACCTATATGTCGTCGTGATACCTGGGTACTAAGGATGCAATGTAGCATAGTGTAAGCAAGGCTCACCCGATTTCATTTGGGATTTGGTGGAACCAGCTTCAGAGGGACAGTGCAGGTGTGCTGGGATCTGTGTTTAGGCTCAGGCTTTGTGGCTCCTGGTGGGAGGCTTGAGATTTCGGGGCTTACGAGTGTGAGGCTTTAAGGGATTACGGTTAAGAGGTTCCACGAGTTTTGGTGTTGCACTTTCTCGTCCTGAAACCCTAGATTTTGTTGGGGTGTAAGGGTCGCGGTGCGGGCTTTGGCGTTCAGAGCTTCTGCCTTCGAGTTTAGCGCATTGGGCTGTGAGTTGGGATCAGGAGTGCGTGCTTGCAGTAAACATCCAGTACTTGGTGTTTGCTTAGATCCTGATCCCAGAAAACCTATTAGTGCTGATAGGCCAAACTAAGGATCTTTTGCTTCGCTGCATGTCGACCCAGGTCGACTACACCTCCAAACGCCGCGAAACGCCGGCAGTCTCGGTGGGTTGCGTCTGGCCCTCGAACGATGGCGAGCGAACAAGACTGAGGTTTTATGACATTCAACTGAACATCAAGAGCGAGAAGGGGAATGACCTCCAGACCATAGAGGATCAGTTTGCTAGCTGCTAGATCAGGCCAGTGGCAAGGCTGGTCGCTTCTCCCGGTTTTCCAGGAGTCCATGAAAGAGTTCACTGCGGATGAGATGCTTGACGGTGACAACCTTTACGAGGCTGATCGAAAGCCGCAGTCGGTGGCGATTTCGGAAGATGCAAGACCTCCGCGCAGGCCGAAGGCTATGGAAAGCAGCGTGCAAAGAAGGCGCAGCCTGCGCAAGCAAGATGAGCTTGGGAGAGGGGCGTGTTCAGCCTGCCTCTGCTCAGGGCATCCGGTTTGTGCAGTTCCCTCCGGTCCTGAACCTGCAGCTGAAGCGCTTCCACTTTGACATGGAACGCATGGACATGGTGGGCAGCAAGAGCACGTGCAGTCCAGCTCCGTCATCCTGGTGCCGCCAGGTAAAACTCAACAGCCGCTTTGAGTTCCCACGACGCCTCGATCTCTCGCAGTTTGCACCTGGCGCTGGGCCTGGAGCCTTAACAGAGATGTTGGTGTTCCTGCCGCAGAGTGTGAGAATCCGTGACGTATGACGGCGAATGACTCTGAGGCATTATCTGCTACACTCCGTCGTTGTCCACAGTGGTGATGTCAACAGCCGATGTCTGAGACGCTCCAAAAAATGACTCTTTGGACTCTCTAGCCGATGCACATCGCGATCTCGACGCAGGCGGTCACTACTACGCCTACATCCGGCCAGCGACCGAGGGAAGTCTTAAGCGCTCTGCTCCTTCCAAATATGTTCATGCAGTCTGCTGCAGCACGAAATGCAAGGCCAAACTTGGACGAGCGATGGGTGAAGTTTGATGACGACAATGCAGCTTGACGAGAGATGCGGTACCCCAGTCTATGTCAGGAACCTTTTTTTCAACTTCAGGTTACGCCCTGCAGCGATTTTGCGGCGGTCGAAGACAACTTCGGGGGCATCTCAACTCAATCTAAGTGACAACGAGCATGACCATTCTGACCATGAGCGGCTTACATTCATGCTGCGACATGGTGGTTGTTCGTGCCAGGCAGCGACCCCAATGCCTTCAACTACTTCGATCGTAGCCCATCTGAGCTCAAGAGCGTGAAAACCTCAGCTGTTCAGCAGTGATTTCTGGCTGGCTGTCGTTGAGCACTCCAGCCTCGCATGCAGCCCTGCTTGCAGTTGCAATGGCCCAGCCGTCCCCGTATCCACAATGCGTGCTCCACGTTACAGTACAGTCCGTGGTGGGCGGTGCTGTAGGCACAGAGTATCACAGTATTTCGTCCTTCGCAGGTACATCCTTGTCTACATCCGCGAGGACTGTGCGGAGGATGTCTTGCGCATCCCTGATCCGATGCAGGCGCTTCTGCAGCTCACGTTAAAATGGAACGTAGCATGTCCGATTCATAGGTGAACAGCCGGATGGTGGAGAGGTGTAATGCCGAGGCGCCTTGTCCTGGCTTGTGCAGTGAAGGGGGAGGGGGGTGGACTCGGAACGGATTTGGAATGCAGCCAAAATATGCATCGGCATTTCCTCATGTGAACCGCAAGGACAGACAATGCAGGAACAATGGGATACTGTTAGCAAGTACTGTTTTGTCGATTGTTCGAGTCAAGAACTTCAAACGAGACAACTAATGGCAAGGAATGAAGCAAGAACATGGAGCCAGGCATTGAACGATCCTATTTAGTGGCACTGACGCAGCGCAGAGCCGACAGTCTGGTCTTTTGCAAACTTGCCCATGGTGCATACCGGCTTGAGAGAGGTACGATTGCAAGAGCAGCGACGGCGTGAGAAGCTGGAGCTGCAGACAAAGATCAGGAGCGAGCAGTGTTGCGACTCTCTCGGTAGGCTACATGACGCTGCCTTAATCTCAGGCGACATGTTCTGTTTCAGGTGGGTTTGCTTGCAACGCGTGGTTGAGGTCGTGCTGAATTGGAACTCTGCAAGCGTGGAGTTGCAGCACCGTTAACCACCACCGAAGTGTGTCGGGAACAGCATTTGCCTTTGTCAGACCAGCACTAGCTTCTAGCTGCTAGGCCGTCAGAAATCGGCATTGCTGGAAGCAGCCTACTGCTGGTTGGTAGCTACAGACACCGAAGTTCAAACCTGTAAGTGCACTGTTCAGGATAAACCTGATCTTCGAAAATGAGTTGTCGAGACCTCAGACAGATTTCCGTTGGGGTGCTGGTGGCATCATGCGGCGTCAGGTGTTCAATGACCGGCTTCTGGGACTACACCAGCATTCCGACGGGGTCGGGGCCCCTGGGGTTTTTTCGGGGCCTTCGGTGTGCACTTCTTTGCCCCGTCGAAAGGCAGTCCTTCAAGATGAACCGGGATCAGTTCGTTAAGGACACGAGTCGGAGACGAGCTGAAGCCAAGCTGTGGGGCTGTGGAGACCGCATGTGAACGGACAGGACCTGCTCTCGCATGCAGAAGAGATTCTGCAGGCCGCAGAAGCCTTCTTGTCTCAGATTTGATTGGACGGATACCGGTTTTGCCGAAGGTGAATGCGAATCACCTGGCTTTGTTTGCTCTTCACCTCCGATCGAACCCACGACAGGCTGCTTGGCGGAGACGTGATATCTGTGATGTGCACGGCCCTGCAGGTGAGGTTCGAGTTCATGCCGCATCTTAAGACCCTCAGGAACGGGTTCACGCGAAAAGTTTTCGCAAATCAAAGCTTAAGTTTCTTCTGGCGGCGTCCAGGACGCAGATACCGCCCGTCACCTCACCTCATTACGAGCCTTTCAAAGCAAGAAGCCTGCTGTTCGTCCTATGGCTTTTGAGTCCAAAGCTGGTTCGCGATGCTTGAGGGACGTTTTGGAAACGCTTGGAGCTGAGGACTCGCAAGATCCTTGCATCACCGTTCTTTGTGCACGATGCTCGGAGAGCCAAACTGCACGATGGCCAATGTACGCATTTTACCATCCGGTCAGGTGGCTGCAAGAGGCCACAATGTTGGTCCACCTCCGCTAAGGTTGGATGCGCAGTTAGATGCTTCCCAGTATGTTCATGCATACCTTGGCGAAACGTTCGGATTACCTGAAGGCTAGAGACACCGTGCATGTGGAGAAATGCGTAGCGTACTGTCAGGTGGCAAAATGAGTCTGCCGAGCCTGAAGAGCTGGTAAGGCACACCCCCCAGAGCCACAAGTGGACTCAGGCATCTCGTGGTGATGGATCTGATTTAGTGGCAGGTGGGACGATCAACAAGTGATTATGCGAGGGCCCACATTCAGAAGCATATGGAGCGAATGCAGCACAGCGAGGTGTGACTGAAAAGATTCAACATTGAGGCTTGTGGTGAAGTATTTCTGCATCCAAAGACGAAAGCTTGTCACTTTGGGCTGCCGCTCGGCATGGCTATCCATAGCATACTGACAAGGCACAGTGCCAAGTCCCAGTCCAGCAAGGCTTCTACATGCCGCTGAACGACCCCCTGATCAGCATGGCACCAGAACTTACTCGGGCCTTGGGATCCTAACGCTGCAGAATCTGATTGCAGACCGCGGCCAAGGTCAAGAGCAACTGGGTGACTGAGAGGTTACAGCGTTTTTTGGACAGTCAGGAGGCATGGATCGGTGGTGGGACACAGGAGCATCAGGCGCTCTCGCACAGCATCCGCAGGTGGCGCCACTTCCACCCCAATTGCAATCGGCTGGAGAGGCCACTGCACAGAGGCTTTATAGTAGGTGGAGCTTTGGGCTTGGGCGGCCTGCAAGGATGGTGCAAAGCTCGAAACAGCATGGGAATGCTGGGAAGAGTACACGGAGCAGCCACCCCAGCTGTGACAGCACCCGTAAGCCTTCAGACTTCAGGCTTCAGGCTCAAGCCTCCTGAGGCGTGACATACAAAGAAGAAGTGCCAAAAAGTCGGCTAAGATGGAGCGGTTCATGCTGCAGACTCAGTGCTTCTGCACATGTTGCATTGCATTGCACAAAATCGCGAGGTGCGGAGACATCATCGTCTGGCAGCAATCTTCGCCCTCTGCACCACCGGAGGTGGCCGGCGAGGCCCACAAGGGTGCAGTTCAGTGAGCGACCACAAACGGTGCGGGAAAGACCCCCGACGTCCCTCTCAACATCTCAGGTGGGCTCCAGAAACCTCATTGCCCCCCTCCGTCACAGACAGGTTCTGTACCGACACTGTCGCGCTAGTGCCACCCCTCACTCACTGACTCCCTCGCTCGCTCGCTCACTCACTTACTCATTCATGGACTGAGTAAGGACTTCAAGCTTGAGCTTGAAAGAACGCTCTTTGCAGTTGGCTTATGTTCATCTGGCGGAAGTCCTATGAAACTCGCATGTAGGCGTCAATGCAAGCTCAATGCAGCAAAAGCGATGATAGGGCAACATACGCTCACACCAACGACATGAAGTGATACCCTTAGCATCGTGTGCCTGATTTCGATATGTCGTTTGAGCTGTCGTTTCTAGCATTGGCATGTGCGCTTCTAACCTCCATGCAAAGTGGACCACTCCCAGCGTCGGGGAGGGTGCAACTCCGTGCGAAACATGCGAACTCCCTGCTGGCGCTGAAGTGTTTATGCTTCGGATCTTCGTAATCCAGGCATTGAAGCAGCACTTGCCAAAACGAAAAAGAGTGCATTGTTTGAGTTCTTGGTTGGAACACCAGCATGTTTGATTGGTCATGTCGTCCTGTGGAAGGTGACGTTTCTGCAGCTTCTGCCTCTCTTACTGGTATTATGCTGCAAAACAAGACGACGACGACGAGGCTGGTGTTGGCGATGGTGACGCTGATGATGGTAGTGGCGTGATGATGATGATGATGATGATGATAATGGCGCTGGCGCTGGCGCTGGCGCTGGTGCTGGTGCTGGTGCTGGTGCTGGTGGAGGAGGAGGAGGTGGAGGCGGAGTGGGAGTGGGAGGGGGAGGGGGAGGGGGAGGGGAGGAGGAGGAGGAGGAGGGGGAGGAGGAGGAGGGCAGGCGGCGGGAGGCACGGTGTTTGCGCGGCAGAACACGTAGTGAACGTTGGAGCATACACCACCGATCAACTGCCTTAGCTCTCGGCTCGATCGCCTTTTTTCTTCCTCGCTCTCATTTCGCTTCTTGTCACCTATCGTCATGACTTCCGGTCGTGATTCGCCTTCGACCAACCTCGCCGCCGACTTTGCCGCCGCCAACTACAAAGCCGTCATCTTGGAGGCGATGCAGGGCTTCGCCCTCAACCGGGGCTTGCCGACATCGCCGACGCCGGGAACGCTGGCTACTTCCAGTGTGATCAATGACCGTCGTTTTTTTGCTCAGTGGGCAATGGCGGTTTATCTGTCCGGAGGGTCGTTTGCAACTCGGCGCCTGGTCTCCCCCTCTTTCCTCGCAAAGGCACAAGTTCTGCCCGGTGGGTCCATGGTTGGGGTTTGGGACGACATCTCCTACGACTACGGGGTCGTGCAGGCACCTTATCAAGCCGCACTGGAGGGGTAATTACAGCAAGGAATCGGTGGTGAATGGCATGCTCGCCGCCTTTGGGGTCTGGAGGTACACAAGGCTCGGGCCCCAGACCTGTACAAGGCCCAGTCCGCGGCGAACACGTGCAATCTCCAAGGGCGGCTTGCCACGAGCCTGCTCTGAAAACTGGCCGCATGTCCATGTTCCGGTTGACCATGTCCCGGTGCACGGCAGCCAGCGACATCGAGTACGCTTGTAGCACCCGGGCTGCCTCATTTATAGCGTTGCGGTAGCCAGTGCAAGCCGCCGGGCTGTGTTCCCGGTCGGGCGGATGCAAGATTTTGGCCAGAACGTCGTTAGCTCGGTGCTTGTTTTCTAACCCGTTCCGGCCTTGAACAACAGGAAGGCAAGGGCCTGTCAACCCACAAGCACGGAGGTTCTCCAGTTTTGCCGAACAGCTTGCCAATATCATGTCATTAGTTCCCTGTGCTTGCCGGTGCTTTGAGCATGTCAGTCTGTAGATGGTTGTGATGTTCTCACGAGCGAGTTGACCGACGCATCGTTGTGGCAGTGGCGCAAGTACCACGTTCATGCTTGAGTTCGGCTGGGCTGATCGCATGTAACATGCATGGTGCACAGTGCACGCATGCAGCTTAGCGAGATGAGCGTACTTGCGCCATGGTCGATTGAGAGTCGAGTGTGTTTATGGCCGTTCGGTTTCAGCAAATGTTCGATAATACCACCTTCCACAACCCAAAACTCGGCAAGTGTGTCTACTTGCACTTACTGGCCACACTTCAGCAGGACATGAAAACCAGTATGTCGGTGGGCTGGCTGGGTTTTGCTCCTTCAACTATTCAAGTACAATTAAGATTTCGACATGTTCTCTGGAACAGTCTGGAACACAATGCTGCGTGTACTGGGCTACCAATCGTTGAAAGTTGTGCGCGGAAGCGCTGAACAAGGTGGCCGCCACCAAACAGCCTTTGTGTGTGTTTTTCTTAAATTCTGTGGCATGACTCTCTTTTTATTGTCATCTTATCACGTGGAGCGCTCCCTCTCGCTCAAGCGCATGAGGTGTCATTCATCCACACCGTCCCACATGTGCGCGCTTTCACACGTAGACGCAGAGGAAGAGAAACAAGCACCCTGTCGTAATCACACACAAACTCTCGTGTCACAGTTGCGCTACTGACCGTGAGTTGGCGACCTGCAGGAAAGTCCAATGCAGCCAGGGCAGGTGAGAGCCGCAACCTGCCTTGCAAAGCTGATACGACGGATTTGAGTCGCAGGTGGCGCCCACGTACCCGGTCAACAACGTCTTTGATTTGCTTGCAGTTTGGCCGATGTTGAGCTATTTTCTGTTCATGTGTACTGCATTTTGCCATCAAGCCTCCTCCACCTTATGATCATGATATTGGGTGCGGCAGGAACACCAGCTGAATTCCATTGAAGTGCAAGTGACGCTGGTTGATCGCAAGCAGGCTGCTACGTACATTTTCCCATGCACTTTCATGTGACAGGTTTTGCTAGTTTGCGTTTTATCTGCATTCTTGTGCTCTTTCAGCCTCTTTGCATCGATGGCGTCGTCATGAACGGTCATTGGGGGGCATACCGGCACAGAGCTCGGCAGTCGACGAAAAGCTTATTCTGGGAGTGCTTGCTGTAGCAAGGCCTGCAACAGCGCAGGTGGCTGCAAAGAAGCTTCACGCTGAGCCCATAAATCACGCATCATTTCTGCATCGCCAGGTTCAGGAGGGAGTCCGGGAGGAGAAGCCAGAGGCTTGAAATGGCTTGAAGCTGGTACACCGGATAGCACAGGCGAGTATTGTGCGTTGGGCAGGACATCGCTCTTTCCAAAAGTCCAGCGAGCTTCTCGACTGCCGTGACCAAGGAGATTCTGAGCTGCAGCATGCTGCAGCTTTTCGGTTTCAAGCTGCGCTGCGCAGGAGCTCCAAATGGATTTGCGGTGGACCCAAAGCCACGTAACAGGCCTGACGGCGGCTTGTGCTGTTTCCTGCAGATTTTGTGGATGCGATCATCTTGCAGGAATCATTGCACAAGCCTTTGACCTGAAGTCAGTCATGCCAGGGGCCCCAGCATCCAACACGAATTGGCTTTGTGGCATTTTCCGAATCTCTACAGGACGCCAGCGTCGACTTCTTCCCCGGACCATGAGACCTACTTGTGGTCCGGTCCCTGGATCTTCGAGTGACGGCTACACGCTGGAGCCCCTGCGGCCGCAGGCTTTTCCAGTCCTCGCCATCGAATGGAGAGGATCGAGGGAGGGAGGGAGCGAGTGAGCGATGTGCCGCACAAAGAATGTCATGTCAATGTGTCAGTGAGAAAGCTTGGCCGAGAGAGTGAACCCTCCTTTGGAGAAGCGAGAAGTCTTACAAGCAGCCAAAGATCGCGACCAAGCGATTCACAGGTCCCGCCATGGTCCTGCAACCCTTGTATTTATGATGGAATTCATCGCAGAAGGAAGCAGAGGCACCCAGCAGAAGAGATGCAGCAAGCGGGCAGCACCTGGAGCATACCCCCACGCTGTGCGTTCCGGGAACGCTTTTCGCGTTTGAGCGAGAGACATGTACAGCCGGCAGCATAGTCAATCAATGTCAATCATAATCACATGGTGCCGTGTCGTCTCTGAGTCCTGTGCAAGGAGCCGATCAGCACGAGCATACACGCTCGATCCACGCTGAAGGCCAACAAAGTATCGGGTGTGTCTCTATGCGAAACTCTGCGATCACGTGGCAACTCGTGTTCATCCCCTTACATCGCGAAGGACATTCAGCGGTATGCTCCATATGTCTCACCAGCAGGAGGCACTGTGTTCGTGCTGGAGATGGTGCACTAAGCGGGCATAGCAAAGCCGATACAAATGAGCCTTCTGACATCCCGGCTGTCGTTTCACTGCCAGGCAAGAAACCGCTGAACCTCCATGCGGTCGAGATGCCGTATCGCGCAGGCAAATTGACCTTTGAACCCGGTGTTACGGATAGAATGTCGCCGCAGAACACCATGACACGAAGCCTAGTAGCCACTGCTGACAGGAGCTGACGGTTTAGATTCCAACTTGTGGGCCTTCGGCGTGCGGTTTTTCGACTCGGCGGTCCGAGAGGTGCGAAAGATCGCTGCAGCCTCTGAGTTTTCTGAATCTCTTACTGTCCGAATCGCAGGTTGGGAGCGCAATTTGTTATGTGAATCCTGGCAGTGGCACAGTGGAGGTGCGTCGTCGGGCATGTGCAAACTAGCAGCGTTATGGCAGAGAAACCACCTGAGGACTTGCTCAGAGCAGCCGAGCCCCACATCGAGCCTGTCGGAGCCTTTCTTGTACGTTCTGTCAGCTCTTCACCGCGACTCGGGCGGCTGAGGAGTGGAAGATTTCGGGTCCGCTTCGCGCAATGGAGGTCATCGACGGCATGGCAACACTCTGGAGGAGCGCTTGGCGAAGCTTACGAGCTCTTGCGGACTCGCCGCCTTGTTGAGGCCCACGGAGCCTCTGCGCAGTCTTCATTGCTATGGGAAGTACAACGTGCTTTACCACGCAGTGCGCATCGAGGCCCTGCTTCGGACGCGACGGGCTGGTTTGGCCAAAACTGTGTGCACAGCTTTCGCAAACCAGGCAGATCCTGACACGGCCACGATGTCGCCGGACTGCTTCCGTGATGTGTCAAGTGTAGGCTTAGAGTATGCTTAGAGTCTCGAGATTTCGAGCTCTTGCAGGATGACAGACTCATTGAGGTGTACCACTGTGACCGCTCAAGCCAGCAGGCAGGAGACATGAAGAGACTTCGTCCAGAGAAGCCCAGCATGTGAACAATTCGAGATGCTGCTTTGGCCTCTCTTGCGGCACCTGCCAAAGACTCCTTAGCCTGCCTCGTCGCGCTAGCCCCCATCGCAAGATGAATCTTAAAAGCCGAAGCAGTTGAGCAGCTTGAAGACGGGACCTTGCAGCGCCCTATGCAGTTGCTAGCAAAACGAAATAAAACGATTCTTGTGCAGCTCAGACTTACAACTTTGAATGTTCTCTCCCAGCGGCACGAGACGCCCAAGAAGGAGACATGTTCCTGTATGAGTCATGGGGAAATTTCGAGGGAAGCACCCTAAGGCTGATCAGTGGCTTTACGGCTTTCACCCTGCGATCGGGGCTATGAGTCCTTCGGACCCTCCAAAGCTCCAGCTGTGCCTCTCTCTCTCCCTCTGCTGCAGACGCCGTTCATGGATCATTACGCCCATGTGCCACAGTCTGTTGACAGGCTTTTGGTCAACCTCTGTTTCTTCCGGCCGCTGTCACCTCAGTCACGGTGTGACCTGTTTTTGTTTGGTGGTGCGTCACCATCCCATGTTGCGGGGTTTCGTGATATCTGCTCAGGCGCCTGGCGAGAAAGCAGGCACCTTCAAGAATCGATGTAAGGAAGCAAGGGGGAGGGGGGGGGGGGGTGCACAGTTCAGGGCATTCGTACCGGGCACGAATGCTGAAAAGCCACACTTCCGCAAGAAAGGAGCGACTTGGAGTGCCAGAGAACGAGTTCAAGACCTGGAGGCATGCCGGCTGCAAGTGCTTAAAAAAAGCCCCAATCCAGATCCGTTTGTCGTTAAGGTTGGTCCGGACTGGGCAGAGGCTGGACGCATTGAGAGCAGGTGCTCTTTAGCAAATCTCCAACTATCTTATGCCCAGGGCGGGGCGGCAGCATCTGAAAGATGACGACCCGCTGGATTCAGAGTCCGGTCTGGACAACAGGCAGAAATCGCATCGTTGTGTACTGTCGTCTTGCAGGGCAGTCTGCTTCTGGACAGTCTTGGCAGAAGGATTTGCCTTGAGCACGTGCACCCGAATCCTAGCTGATGCCTCGGAGCCATCGCGATGTGGAAAGTTTGTTGTGACGTCGACATGGCTGAGGTTACGCCAGAACATCAAGGTACAACAAGCCTCTGACAATCAAGTGAGAGCAGGTTCTCTGTAAATAGCAGACGTGGAGAGCACTGCCTGAAGTTCGAAAGAGCACTTTTGCACAATGCTATCCTCGACAGTCTGTGCTACAGGCGGTGTGATCCCAATCCCTCCAGTCATCTTAGGAAAAAAGTGGTCTGGACCTGGTGTAGTGTAAAAGACAGCAAACTGCGCACACAGGTCTGACCAGGTCTGACTGGATTGTGTCGCTTCCGCGGCCTCTCGGGGCCAAGAACACCAAAAGAAGCGAAGCGTGAGACTGACCAAAGAAAGGCGCCGAAGGACCCCGCGCGAGGTTGGCGAAGTTTCGAAACTTTCTGCTTGACTTCACGGCTGAAGGCTAGACCAGAGGCGGCTGCACTTTGCGCTCGCTTCCTGCTCAAATCGACAGCAGAGTGACGTGCCTAAGAGGCTGTTGAAACTCTGCTTTTTCGCAAGTCTAGTCACATTAAGCTTCTGGTAAAGCAGCATTTGGTTTTATTTTAACGTTACCTCAAGTACGGAAGCCGACGGAAGCCCCTCGGCACGATCGGGACGCCGAAAGATAGCACAGGCGAGGTGCTGCCGAGTCTGACACAGCCTGGAGTATCGTGCTAGGTGTGCTAGCAGCTAGTTCGCACGGTCCTCCAACTTATCAAACGACTTTCTGCTGCTTGACGCAAGCTTCACCGGGATTCTTGTCACAGGAACCATTTCATCCACGCGTTTCATTGGTGTGGGCACTCGGCAGTTCGATGGCTTTACTCTTGTGCCAACCTTGGTATGTCACCCAATCGTTGGTCTCCAAGGGATAAGAATGCGGTTCGGAAGGACAGAACCTGGGCCGCAACCGGTCAATCCGCCCACCATTGTGTGTCCATGATACCCTCCACAGTCCAGGGCCCACGCTTCCTCTCGCTTCGTTCTGTGTGCTAAGGAGCCTGGAGCTGTACCAGACATGACCCAGACGGCCGCCCCTGGGACCGAAAGGGCCGAGAAGGCCAAGCCATGCAACAAAGCAGTAAGGAGATAGGAAGATTCATTAGAAGAAGGCGATTGAAGATAGGGAGGAGAGGCCCCAGAAACGAAGCGCTGCAGGGAGCCGCAGTGCGAGCTAGGGTCGGCGCCTCGGAGCCTCGAAGAGTTACTTTAGGCTCAGACTTTTTGCCTCATGTTTTTGCATCGCAAAACCTTTCACCTTCGGCAGCGTCTGATTTTTCGAGCTCGCTGTGAGCACTCCGTGTGACCATCGCGATAGTGATTGCCATTCAGTCGGCGTGGTTGTGGCTGCGATCCTTTTGCTTGCAAGGCTCAAGCATATTGTCCTATCTCACCATGCGTGGGCGGCACATCGGGTCCTCCAGAGCACTCTCACCACACTCCCAGTCTTAGTACACCCCTCACGCTGAAAAAGTCTTCTGCCCCAGTGCATGTGGCTTGCGAAGTAGGCTTATTTCCTATTTCGGGTGGAGCCATGCAGGATGCGCTCCGCGATGCATGTGGAGCACCTTTGTTAGTGAGTGCAGGAGAAAACACGCTACAAGGAAAGAAGAGCTCTTGCGAGCAGCATCCGCAGAGGAGGCCTACAGATCGAGGTGCTTGGAGGTGCTGCGGCCGGCTCGTTGTCGGAGGAGAGTCAGAGGGAACTCACCGAGCCCCGGCGCGGGAGGGAACTCACCGAATCCCAGATCGATCGCCATGTCCCGTTTCCAGACCTGGGACGATCTGAGACTCTCACGTGACGCCGAAGACGGACTACTAGGCACATTTGACAAACTACTTTGGCAGTCTGCATGACCCTGAGCTTGCGCAGCAGAGTTGGGAGCGTCCTGACCGCAACGACTAGGCAAAGCATTTGCGGGAAAAGAATTCGGGCCACGACTCCACGGCATCAAAGGACTCCCGATGTGCACACTACGAAAACATGCCACCTCAGCATCCAAAGCTGACGATTGCGCAGCCTCGCTCCCGGCGAGACCTGGCTGTGCGGGTCCCGCCTCATCGGATAGTCAAGCCTAACGGTCAAGCCTAACGGGGTTTGAGAGCTTGACCCCGCCTCCATCTCCCAAGCGATCCCGCTCGCAGACCAAATAGTTACGATGCTTTACAGGGAGCCCGAAAGTGTGCAAGGCTGTTTATGATGCTCCGGGTGTGATCGCAAGCGTCAGCATGCCCACGTGTGTGACGTGAAAGGGCAACATACCACAACCGTCTCAATCACCTGGAACCACTTTGTGCTTGTCGGGTGTGGGATCCTGCGGCGACGCTGGAACGGGCGCCAGCCACTCAAGATGACATTAGCAAGGGCTTCCTTCGGTGCTTGGCCAGCCAACATCGTCCGCACCTTGGACGCCATCTTGCCCTAACCAAGACACAGGTCCTTGCCCATATTGCATAGAATCGCGAAGATGGGAGTCCGCGTAATCGAGGCCTTCGCCTCACGGCTGTCTGTCGGGCCCCTCCGCGAGAGAAATCCCACAAAACGATCATGCGTTGATCAGGACGGCCGAAATAGTAGCTAGTGGCTGACTATGTCTAGCACGGTGTATCGGGATCTTTTGCAACCTAGGTGTCCTGCAACTTGACAAGCAGGCTCTTCAAAGGCTTCACCTCCATGACTGTCAGCGAGCGTTTCGAGAACTCGCGCCAGATCCGTCCACGCAATGCCACTGCTCAAGATGCACATCCAGAGTCAAGTTGTAAGTCGCATCCCAGTCCCTTTGGGTTTGACCAAGCGGCCTTCAGGAATAGGAAGTTCCAGCTCCCCCGCGGCGCCTTTGCTCACCTGTTTGATGAAGCTCAGAACTTCCAAGCCAGCCTTGTAGGCACGTTTAGACTCGCGTCAAGATGGCTCAGGCTCCAGTCAAAGGGTTTCTTTTCTCAAGCAGAACGAGGACTTGAGGAAGCAGATCGCTTTGCTCCTACTCGTAGCAGAAAAGCGGTACAGCCTCAAGACCACGGCCTGCTCTGTCTCAGTCTGGTGTCTCTCCACACGCTATGTGCAGCAAGGTGTTGTGCCACAGCAGCCACCATGTTGCAGGCAGCTGCGCTGTCGGTCCTGGTACGCTCTGCAGCCTCAAGCTTCACTCTCACTCTTGGAGCTAGTTGGTATGCGTGGCAGGATCCAGCAAAAGACATCTTCGGTCGCCTCCCGGCGCTTTGTACTAGCTTGTCTAAGATCCATCTCCATGCGTTCCGAGCAGTTTCGTTGAATCGGGACCGGGAGCAGTGGGCCTATGACATGGTGATCAAACAGACCCCAATCCATGGTTTCGCTGGTCCAGGGGCAGGCCCTCTCAAGGCAACCTTCGAGTGAAGTTCCAGACCATATATCATATATTTCATCCATTGGTCTGTGCTGGATGCCCATGTCACGACACAGGAAGAGATGCTCAGTACCCGCCGAGGAAACCCACGAGGACAACCTGCTGTGAAAAATGAGAAGCAGCCAAAGGCTAAGGCTAAGACTAAGAGTGCTCCGAAGAAGCGCCCGTCGGCTGGGCTGGACGTTCCGTAGGCAGAGGATTGCCAGCGAGTTCAACTACTTCTGTGCCGGAGTCTCCCGCTGTCTTGCGAGGATGCTCCGTAGAATACCAAAGGTATTCGCATCAAGCTTCGTTTTTTGCGTCTGAATGTATTTTAAGAGTCGACGCACTGTGTCACTTTGTCCAAGGAAAACTCCAGTGAACCACTGCTCTGTTCTGATCAAAACCTAATCCACCGCGTGCTCCGCGTGTTGACCTCGCTTAGGCCTCCTGGCCGTTCGATGTGTTGATGTGTTGGATGTTCTCATAGATCCATCATCCCCGAAATAGGAAAATCAACGTACGTAGTATAGGGAAAATAGTAAATATCCTTGAAATCCGACACTTTCAACACATAGGCAAATACCCTGCGAAACACAGCCAAAATTACAAAATAACATAGCTCAGCTCAATGTCCGGAGTTTGGCCACCGCAACACGTCATGCCGTGTACTGAGGTCAGCGACGGATCCGGATCGGGTTCAGGATCTGGTGGTTCAGGATCTGCCGGCAACAGCTGGGAACAGGCCAGCCGTGAGAAGTGGTCTTCAATGATGGCGTGACTGGCGTGATAAGCAGTCAAATCAGGCCACGAACTCCAGTGGTGGCAGTGGGCCTCAGCGTGGTGAAATCAGAGATGATGGCGGCTGAAGCGGCTAGCAAGCATTGGCCTGCTGCCCAGGCCATTCAATCTCCTACAAGGCTTTGGAAGTCCTGCGAGGTATTGTCGCAAGTGCCTCTGCTTGATTGTGTCGGTTCGAGGCATGAACTCTTGGAGAGTTTCGCTCAGCTGTATTGACGGTTTCTGTAGGCTCAGGGATTCGGGAGACGCTGACAACTTGTTGACAAAGTGCCTGAGCATGCTGCCGCAATCAATTTCTCACCTCACAAGCCTCACCAGCGTATTGCCTACTGTACCGACTGTACCTGTCGTCAGCTCGCAGCGCAGCGACGCGACAGGTGAGGAGTCGCCGTCTCCGAAGTTGCCATCAGCAGCAGCACTTCAGTTGGGCCGAGTTCTTATTCGGCTTCTCAGGGGATAGGGCGCAGGGATTTTGCAAAACTTCAGACAGCCGACAGCCTGGATGTTTTCTGGCATCACTGGCCATGGAAGATGCAGCTGTGTTTTTGCCTGGGGACCGTTCCTATTTTTTTTGCAAATTGCAAAAAGTTTCACGCCTCCTTGGACCAGGTCTTGCTGGAGATACCTTACTAGCAGCTTCCCTCGCTGATGGAGTCTGCCTCGTGAACATGGCAACAGCCACAACACATGCGGTTCGGTGAGCCAGTCGAGCTGGCAAAATTGTGCAAAACGCCGTAGGAATAAAACTGCAGCATAGCTTGCTAGCGTGTGGCATAGCGCTCAGGGCGTACAGCATAACGCAGGGGACCCTGAGCACAGCGTTGTCTCTCACGCCGTTCTAGCTGTCCTAGGACAGAGTTGAGCACATGACGATGCCAGGGCTTCCCCTGCTTCTGCGGGACTCGTAGGTGCTTTGATCGCTCGAGGTCTGCCCAATTGTTCCGAAGCCTCGCATCAGGTTTTGGTGATCGGTTTGGAGACGTGCTTGTCCCGTCTGGGAATGAGGTCGATCGACCGCTGAAGAAGCAAGACCTGCAGCTGACTGCATGCGACCCAGATGTGCTGCGCTGCACAATGCTGAGTGCTGGTCGCTGCAAATCCGAGGTGATGAGGATGAGGAGCAAGCCGCATCTGCCAGTGCGCGTGTCAGGCAGGTCCGCACGCAAGTGTGTCCCAAGCAACAGATTGCCAGTGCTTTCAGGGCATAAACATGTGAGCACACACTGCACCGAAATTTCTAGAGAACACTTCGACCGAACATCCATCTCGTGAAGCCTTCTTGATCTGAAGAGTACCGTGGTCGCTAGTGCGGCACGTCGTTCCTTTCATTGTCTTGCGTTCTCACTCAAGCAGGTTTTGTGTTCGTGCCCCTTATTGGAACGAATTTTGGAGTTCACTCATTCAGACTCGACGCCTGGTAGTACATTTGTACATGTTCTGATGTCTTGATTGTGCTTTCACCCCAGTCTTCCTTGCTTGCTGTTGATGCTTGCGCCACAAAAATGCATTCTGCTTGTCGTCCGGCCTTGCATCATGGTATGACATTGCACTTGCAGCTTTGGTCTCAAAGTTATGAAAGTCCTGTCTTGAGTTGTGCAGAACAGTTGGAACCTACTGCCGCGCGCGTCGCATCTCGAAGCCCATCGACGAATATGTTCACATCCCAATTACACTGCACAAGGAACATATGCCGTAAACGTGTGCCAAGTCCACGCAGGCAGCATGCATGCCAATCAATAGCTCTGTGTGCATAGTACTGAAGATGATGACTTCCACCCGAGACCGGTCTCGGCACGAAGACCAGGCAGAAGCCTGTGCCATCGAGGCCAAGACTATACAAGTCTGCCTTCAGGTGAACAGCTGAAGGTGGATTGCAGGAGAAAACAAGATGCCTGCATTTCAACCTTTGATCTATTGAAACGTGCAGTTTGTCTGAAGCAGGGCAAGCTTGGGGGGAGGGCAATGGTGCTTTCCGGGTGCTCCGATTGCGAAGCTTGCATTGATCAGCCAGTTCCGAACATGGTGATTCTCTTCTTGAGCTCTGGGTTCTGTTGGAATTTGAACAGGTACGCAGTACGCAGCAGCTTCATGGTAGGATGGCTGTCAGCTTGTTGCGGAGTCCTCTAGCTAACACGTACTACTCGCCAGTGCTGTGCAGAGAAGCTTCTTTAGTCTTTAAATGCTAAGTACAGTTGATGAAGCAAATTAAATTTCCGAGCAGTTGCTGAATCATGCTTGAAGCTGGCAGGGCCAGCTGGCTGTTGATTTGGTGCCACGAGTGCCAAGCCTAGAGAGCAAGCCGTCGGCAGCTTTGTGCTTCAGTGAGAGATCCCTGGCAGTCAACACGCAGTGGTTGCAAGCATCGTGCTGTATGCCTTTATCTGTTAGCTTTGATAAAACTGCTTTGTGTTAGGCAGGTACTGGGTGAGAAGTCTTCATTGCATGTCCGCGGTGAAGTGTGAGTGTGTGCAGCATTTTGGCTCAAGGTCTTGACCCAAACTGGCTTAGAGTCGAGTTTTGACTTGTGGGGGAGGGACTTCACTTACTCGAAAAGATACCTCTAGCTACATGTAGGCATGGATGCCTCGCCTCCTGTCCCTGACACTTGTGTTGTGCATACGTCCAGGCCTGTGCTTTCAGCGGAAAACTGGCTGGATTTCACCCAGTACATGCGCACACTGGACGACGAAGGCAGGGTTGAGAGTTCTGGGCGTTGTGAGCTGGCGTGTTCGAGGTCACCCACCTCCCAGTCCGCTGCACGAGCTTCGCTTGGGTCAGGCGTGTATCCCCCTTCGCAGGTACGTCTGCGCAGACATGCCTTGGCAGGGACAACAGCTCGCAGGGACCAACGGCTACGGTCCGGGCTTAGTCTCGAGGACATGGTGGGCTTCCTTGTTCAAGGCCATAGAGGCGAGCGAGCTCAACAGCATGCACGAGCGCATGGGGGCCGGCGTTCATGAGGTCCTTGCCGTCTGCCGGACTAGATAAAGGAGTCCGGCCGTCGATCTGCCGGCAGCCAAGGATGCCTTCATGGTCTTGCATCTGCGGGCACAGAGGGCTATACACTTTTGGATGGCATCCTCGTGCTTGCCTGTATTGTGGCACGCTTCTTGCATCCGGCCTTGGCCACGGCGTTGCCATAAAGTTCAGATTGCGACGGCGAGGTCGCCTAAGCTTGCCGCAGCGGCGGGAGGTACCCCCTAGCAGGGCGTAGCGGTCGGTGTGTGGGGGTGCTCGGCTACCTTGGTGGACATCCTTGGCATCCGCTCGGCGCTCCCGCACTAGTTTGCGGACTGGGGTTGTTCAGGGTAGCGGGTTATATCAGGACGGCAGGCGCATCAGTTCGCACAGGTTTCAGCAAGCCTCTCCCCCGTTGTGGCTCGCAACGTTAGCCTTGATCCTCGTGATGTGGGACACCATGTCGGGGGTCTATGCCGCACAGGCCATGGAAGGAGACTCTGGATGGAGTGCGGAGACATCGCTGCAGACTACACCGGCCAGTCGGGATGTGCAAGCTGACTCCGACTTCGCCTTTAACTTTACGAGTTACGAACAGGCGGTGCGAGAGGCTGGGCATCACGTTGCTGACTCCTGGGTTGTGGAAGGTTGCTTGATGTCAGCGGCAGCGGCTAGTATTGAGGGCCCGCCGGCCGATCCGCAAGAGTCCTTGTGCCCGGTTGAAGCCCAGCAGCCTTCCCCGTTGGCAGGCGGCCCGAAGATTTCCTGCATCGACTGAGCCGCTTGCTCCTCGCTGGCCATCGTGTGTCACCGCGGCAGGCCGGTCGGACCGGACCGCAGGGCAAGTCGCGCTGTCTCAAAAGCAGTTTGTGTGATAGCATGACAAGCGATGGCATGTCTATTGCTCTTGCCGAATGTGCCCTCGCAGAACTGACATGGAGAGGTCAACTCAGAAGCCAAGGCCGCCAGGGTCCACACATCCGCATGATGCTGTTGAAAGTGCTTGCGCAAGCCACGTGCAGTGTAGGGAGCTTGACAAATCTATTGCAGTGCCCATTTATTGACGTTATCCGCGGACGGAAAAGTCTCATCGAGAGGAATCTGTTCCGAAGAGTCCTGGTCGTCATGTGCCGGTGATGCAATCGCTCTTGCCATGCTGAGCTGAAAGAGTACCGGACATGTGTCACGATGTTCTCGTCCCGCCGGCGCCTTAGCAAGACACCATGGACGGACAGTCATGTTTGGGCTTGATGTAGTCGAAGGCCAGCCACCTCCACTGCATGGTCCGAGCTTGGTGCTGTTTGGACACATCCTTGTGAACACGAATCCAACCGTCCAATACATCTTGACCCTACCAGCCTTGGGAGTCCACTGACGACATAGAGCACAATGCGAGAGTGCCTCCTGCTTAACGGAATCAGTGACCATTCAATGGTCTGTAGGGAAAGTGTGCCCGCGCGAACCATTTGTAGAATGGAAAATTTGGCCTCGGGCCCGTCGCCCCTGACAATGATTTTCTTCAACATGTTTTTGCAGGTTAGCCCAGCGCAAGAAGGAATGGTCACAGCCACTGCACTTTGGCGTGCCATTCGTACCGTCCCGTGCACTTGCCTGTCGAAGGTAGTGGGCTCCGCTTGCATGCGTTCAGCGCTGTGTAATTTGGCCTTGTGTTGCCGAAGGGCTGCATCATTGTCAAACTGCATGTTGCGCACATCACAGGTGAGCCGAGCACCAGAACCAGCCTCGTCCGGTGTGTCCAACTCACTGACCTGTTTGAGTAGAAGTGCCTCCCTTTCGGTGATGGTATTCGAGACGCAGACATCATCTTCCCCGATGACTTGGCGAAGTGCTGCGGGTTTCTCCACCAATTGCTCGCGAACCTGCATCAGTAGTTGATGAACTGTGGGCATGTTCTGTTGAGCAGCTTGTGATCACTTTCCTCACTCCAGTGCCGCGGGCTGCGCGTAATGGCCCGAATCTGCTTGACGAACATCGCCCGAATCAGGTCATAAGACTTACACGTGTAGCCGGATGCCACCAGCGAGTTGTAGTCGCCTCTGCAGTGAGAGAGCCCGATGTGGCATCAAGGTGGGAGGAAGCCGAGCAAAAGCTGCCTGACCAGCAGCCCTCCGGTGTTGGGCATTCTGCATCTCAAACGACCCATAGGAGATCATGGCACCTAGGTACACGTGACTGGTCTTCAGAGGTAAAGACCACTTGGCGTCGAGGATGAGTTGCTTACCCTGGGGCTTGGTCTGTTTGCGCACAATCTTGCGCAGCAGATGTGGGCCTTTCACCCCGTCCGCCTTGAGCAGACAGTCTTGTCCCGACTAAGGTCAAACCCAAGATCCTCCAGCATGCCCAAGGCTACTCCCGCCTCTCGTCGTGCTTGATGTAAGCCTTCGCACTCCTGAAATTCTCATCGCATGCGAGCATCGTTGGCGAACCCAAGTAGATGTTCGATGCACCCAGTTTATGCAAGACATAGACAGAAAGACAGCACCATAATGTCGGTGACAATTTGCAGCCTCGCCTTATACCTGAACTAGAGTGATAGCTGACACAGTGCCCAGCCTTTTCGATGTGGAGGTGGGTTTTCTGCACCCATCGAAGGATAATATCCGCCAGCTCCCCCGAAACTTCAAAAAATTCCAGCGCACGAACTAGCAGTTGCCTGTCCACCCCATCGAATGCTTGAGAGAAGTCGACGCTGACTTGTAAGCCACCAGCACATGTACTCCGCTTTTGCCCAGCACGTAGAGCATACCAGGAACGCTTCTGAGCCTCCGCTGTATTTCGTACCCGCTCACAGCGATCATACACAATGTTGAGGGCTTGCTGAGGTGACCGCTGCGCTAAGTAGCCAAACAATGGTAGATGCCTGGTTTTTGTTCACAAGAAAAGGCTCAAGGTGCGTTTTCAGCACCCCGCTAACAGCCTTGCCCATTGGTTCCAGCAGAGCGATGGGACGCAAGCTGGCCAAATCATCGTGCGGCTTGCCCGCCTTCTGCAGGAAAACAAGCCAGGCCGCCGACCAGTCATCATGTATGTCAACATGTTGCGAACTCCACTTCGAAAAAACAGCGGCCTCCATGTAGGAAGCAATTGGCTCTGCAGCAATCTTCTAGAAAACAAGTGGAGCACAATGTGACGGCGCTGTTTTGGAACTCTGCAGACCCTGAAGTGCCTGCACGATCTCCTCACGCATGATGTGATACCGCTGTGAGCCCGCGCCGGACAAAACGCAACGCCTGGTACTCCGCTGACAGACTCCCAGAACTGCTTGAGCTCCTGGGCCTCTTCGGCTGGGGTCATCAACTTGCCTTCTTTCGATGTCAATTGCGCGCTCCTGCGCGCTTGTTTGGGAGCTACTCTGCGGATGAGGTCAAAGCACTTGACTGCAGCCTGACCGAACATGTGCATCGGCCTCCTGCCACATACGAGCCAGTCTGACCCGCCGTAACCTTCTAGAATGTTTTCGCACCAGTTTATGCATCTTCAAGAATTGTTGGCGATGTCGCCATGCCTGTATGACTGCTCTCAGCCACCACGAACTCCTGCCTGCGCGCATCTCCCTTGCATGCGCATTGACCGGTAGTGCTGCCACATGGTTTTGATGCTACCTACATGCTCAACTCCTGCCCAAGGCGGTGGCAAGCTGCGCGGTCTGTCCACGTGAAAGACCCGATTCCCGACCTCAAGTAACACTTCATTTAGCTTCCTGGGGTGGTAGTCGCCCACGTGCTGCAAGGCTTCGTGCACCTGCTCGGCGTACTGCCCAGCCAGTTGCGGATTCTCCTTGACGGCCTGCGCAAGGAGCTTGCGTCGCCATCCCGGCCTTCTTGGCCACCGTAGCAGACCTACGTCAGGAAATACGAGTCCATGCCGGCATATGCCGGCCACCCTGACGCCATCGAGTAACCTGCCAATCACGCAAAATGCCTGCATGTTTATGTTTATGAGGATGCTTGTGAAGTCGTAGAAAGATTTCCTACTGTACGAGTTCACAGTAAACAGCCAAAGGCCTGCAGCAGAGCAACCGCCTCGTCCGCATCCGGGGTCGGTCCGCCAGCTAGAGCAAGTGTATTGTTGCCGTCGGGTATTTGTCCGAGGGTTCTGCGCAATGAGCTCCAGACGATTGTTGTGCCAGCGCGTGCTGGTAGAGGTTCACAGCTTCGACCCGGCCTCCATTGCACCATGCTTTAACATGTAGAAGCAATGCACTCAGGAAAACGAATGTCCTCTTGCGGGGAGATCGAGGCACGCAGAAAGATCATCACTCCTGCGTGAGCGCGCTGGCCTTGCTCGCCAATGCCCGAGCCAACACAGTGCCAGTCCCTCGTCACAAAATCCATGTGTTCTCTGTGCCATGTCTCTTGCAAAAAGACTATGTCATACTTCTGGCCATCCAACCATGTGAACAACTCATCTTCGATGTTGCTGAGCCCACCACAGTTCCATGACAGACACGACAATGAAAAACCTGGTGCTCCATGCTCTTCTGCAGCGGGCGTCCTGCGCCGCTGTCACTGTTGTTGTTGTTGATCCGCGCTGCTCTTGTACTTCCCTAAAAGCTCTTGCAAATTGCATGAGCGGCCTCGGTAATCAGTAGTGCCTTGCGCCCTGGCACGCATGACTGTCAAAAGGAAAAGGACTTGCCGCAAGATCGGCCCACATCATGATTGTCCCCACTACCGGAGGCTCGGCGGGACCTCCAACCCTCGCTTCCATCGAGATCATGAAAAGAATCGTCCTTCAATAGCTTGACCGCCGGACTTGAGGCCATCCCTGTAGCATGAGTTGATGCTGCTGCCGATTTGCTCTGCATGTAAGGAATATGTGTTGAGAAACCACTGCAAAAAGAGACGCTGTTGAAAGGCCACTGTTTGCAAAATCCAAGCACCACGATCAACAAAATCATGCGCATTAATGAGGCAATCGCTTGCAGTCACCAGCACCGACAGCAGCTGAAACCATGCAAAAGCCTAGCAAAGCTACGCGAGCCGCCCCCACTCACAGCAAAACAGCTCGGGCCCAGAAGCTTGGTTTCAACAGCTCATGCTCTAGTCGTCGAGCTGCTGTATGCCTTTGGCGTGTTCCTTTACGACTCCCGCCAAAGCTTGTATTTCGCCATATGCTGATTGACTCGGCGCTTACCTCTTGCAGATAATGCTCGAGTGTGTGAAGATGGCGGAGCCGCATCAGCGCCACCGCCTCGCAAAGAAGCAGGAGTAAGACCCGCAGACGCGGGGATCGCGAGCATCTGCAGCAAAACATCCTAACGTCTGCGAAAGCTGCTGGGGCTCAGGCCGAGCAGTTTTTCTTTTGAGGGAAGGCTTCCAAAATAATGCCCGCAGAACTGAACTACAAGGCGATCTTCGACTGATGTATGTTGCACCGTGCCAATATCACGACCACTCGACTTGGGTTGACGGACTGTCAAACAACAGCACGTCGTTTCGTTCCGCAACCAAATCAGCGGGCAGCAGCAAGTCTTCACGCAAAGCAGACAGCACCTCGCCAGGCCGACAGATACCAAAGAAGCCGAGAAGCATTGAGCCGGCAAATCGGTGCCATCCCCAGCAAATGCTCAAAGACACCATGGCCCGCAGAATAACAACAGGTGAAGGTGCACTGTGATGTACCGGTTCAACCAACTCCCATCTTGAGACCAGTTGCCATGCTTTTACCCATATACAGCTTGAGAGAAAAGCACTCATGCTGGGCATGAATCGTGCACCTCAGTGCGCACGCTCGCGATTGAGTCACTTCAGCATCAGCTCTTTTCGAAGTCCTTTTTCAATGACTCTGGTTTGTGGGGACGGTGGCGTTTTGGCAAGCTCACTCTGCGACAGGGACCCTTCGTGCCATGAGGCAGCGCACCAGGCGTCTAGTTCAGCCGGTCTGCCACGCTGAAGAAATAGAGTGGTACGGTATGGAGATTGGCACTTTCTTTTTCGCCATGCTCTTGGGACATTTCTTTTCCGGATTTCGAGTTGGCTCTTTCACAGAAATACCATTTCCTGCGCCCTTGACTCTCAACTCAGCTCGCAGCATGGCATGCCGAATAAAAGTGAGCGCGGGCAAGAGTGACGAGCAAACATGTTTGTCATGTTTTCCGGAGGGATGCCGAGTGAATTCAACTGTTCTGACCCCCCGAGCGCCGGCAACAGTGACGAGCAAACATGTGAAATGTGTGCCGCGCCATATAGGGGGAAGGGTTCAGGCATTGTAGAACCCATTAATTTGCAAGTAAATTGTGTGCAGGAACATGTCGGGTGGAGGTTCGAGCGGCCGAGAGTCTGCAACAATTAACTGTAATCGTAACTCAAAATCACGTGCGACATCACTGCCTTCCGCCGTTGGCGCCATTCTGCATTTGTGCTTTGTACGTGTTTGTCCACAACGAACAAGGCGCTGTTACAAGCCGGAGCGGCTTGGGCTTCGTGCCAACCTCACAGATGTTGTCCAGAACTCAGCACGGAGATGGCCGGTCAAACAAGGCGGTCGGATGGTTTGAAATGCGAGGCCATGAAGCTGAGTGCCGGAATACTCTGCATGAAGAAGGCGCTACTTTGCGGGATGCCTCCTTTGAAGAAGCAAAGAGACGCGGCAGGCAGTCAAGTATGAAGCATGGATGAAGTGCCAGCCTTGAAATTTAGATCGGCCAGTGGCCGCACTACATGGTGTACATTCCTTGACATTCGTTCGGAATGCGCCAAACACCTGAGGCGAACTAACAACAAGTTCCATGTGCTGATCACAGATTGGAGAGAGGCCCCTTGTTGTTCGTCGTTGATGTCAGAGCAGACCTGCGCCTTTGCAAGGCAAAACCGTGCATTCATGCAGTCGGGGAGAGCGCCCTGGCTGCTTTCGTGTCGTGTGGGGCTGCAGCATTTCAACAAGACATTCAAGTTTGCACTCGGCTTGTTCTGCTGTTTGGGAAGCTTTCGCTGCGGACAGCACTTAGCTGCAAGAAGCTGCAAACGTGACCAGACGAAGCATGTCCGCTGAAAGCAGAAATTCTGAAGCATGGACCAGTTTTGCCAAGATCTCCTTTGCGTGGACCCTTGCTCAGGTCAGCAAGAGGATTCGTGGCCTGAGATGGTCGTCTCTCACCCGGACAGTTGCGAGTGCAACAATCAAGACAGATGCACGTCAACCTTGAGTGCCTTTGTTGTTCAGCTAGTTTCACCGACACCTGGCTGTTGCTGGAGTTGTACTGTAGCCCCTCCACGATGCTAAGATTATTCTATGTGACCTGCCGAAGTCGCACGAGAACGCGGTCCAGTGGGTGTGCAGCCTTACAACAATGCCATCGCACAAATCGGGAGTGGGGGGGGAGGTGCGGTATGCGGGCTCAGGCCGGTCGGCAGACCACAATCAAGACTCCCATTCGTGCCGGGGCCTCGGCTGACATAAACTTCGCGAGGCGACTAACATGGCCCTGAACACACTCAAGTCAGGTTGTGTTTGAGGATCCGGAGCAGACTCACTTTCAGGCTAATTATGTCTTCGTCGTGCAACAATCCTGGCTGAGGGTTTGCATGGATGCAGGTCATAGCAGATCTGCTGCAAGAATGCTACGAGAAGATGCTCAAGCGAAGGCAATGCAAAGCAGCGAAGACGGCTTCGCCCTTTTCAGAGGAGACAACTTTCACTCTGAGGCCCATGTTGGTGCCGTTCAATCCTGGACTGTTGTCGCAGTATGCGACTTAGTGAGCCACCTTGGTAAAGCGGCACTGCCCAGCAGCGTAGCCGGAAGGCCAGAAGCACCTACCTCGAGAGCCAGTGCGGCATCTCCGGAGCCCTCCGGCAGGATCTGGGAGGCGCACACGAGAAGCGAAGCCAAAAGCTAAAGCACGCTGGGAACGAAACGGCATTCTCTGGGCTCAAGCTTCTCACGCAGGACCAGAGAGCCAGGTTGCACTCTTCGATCCGATCGGAAGTCCCACGCCCTTTGCGCGTGGTGTATAGTTGAGTGTCAGGATGCGCAAAAGCGATTGCTTGTTCGGGGCATGGGTGGTGCTCTCTGCACGCACTACCTCAAGTCCCTCGTCGGAACGCAGATTGATGTGACCTTGATGCCGTTTGACAAGTTCCGTTCCTCAGACAACCTTTCCGGACTGGACGACCCAGACAGACTTCGAGTGCTTGCATCTTGAGCTCCTCGCTGGCTGTGATTGATGATGAGCGGAGAAGCCTCAACCTCAACCTCCAAAAGAGACGTGCAAGCGTACCGACTCTGACTTCAGACGAACCTTTGTCACAAGAGTGGGGGATAGAGTGGTTGCGAGTTGCCGGCAGTCTTATGGAGATGGGAAATGTGTATGCTCTCGGGCAGTGTGAGTGCCTTGTGTGAAGAAGCTTGCACACAAGCTCAAGCTGTGTGACACCTGTGGCTCTGCCGAAAACATCCAGCGGCCAGAAATCTGTTTGCATGTACAGTTTACTCTTTACATGTTGGCCAGACCATGCTGAGAAGCAGAAACATGAACATTGCAGTGCGGCCGGCATTTGCCAAGCTTGCAGTTCCCCAGACAGACGCAGCCAGTCTGAAGGTGGCATCTGATGTGGACTCTGATGAGATTCGGAGGGCGGTCCGAACTGGCACAATCATTAGCCTGTGAACTAACGGCATTTGCGAAGCAACAGTCGTCTGATAGTTGGAGGGTTCAGACATGGCTTGGCTTTGTTTTCGGCAAATGCAGGGAAAGTCTGCGGACCTTTCCTTTGTCGGCGATGTGCTTAGTTGAAGTTCAAGCCATGTTTGAACCGGCATTCTTTGCCATAACGGCAGCCGGGGATGCACACCGGCCTGGAAAGGAGGGGGGTGTGGGTGTGAAAACTCCATGAGAGATTTTTTTTCTCTCTTTCCTGCTAAATCTCCATGAGAAGTAGATATGTGCCTGCTGTACCACGCGCTCTTCCCGCGACTGATCCGCCTAATCCAGCCCAGTACCTAAGGTCCAATGCGGCTTTCATGAAACGAGGGATCAGTGGCCGGGTGCGTACGAAGAGAGTTTATGCAAAGGGAAGGGCCGATCTCAAGGATTCAATCGGTTGGAGCAGCGCATCCTCAATGATTTGCATCGGCCATTCCCAGTGATCGACAGTCTTTGGCTCACACACCCACTACCGTACTTTTTTGTGCGTGCTGTGTTGGGCACGGTATCTTGCCAGTCACTAGACCCGCGTGCGACGAGTGACGAGAACAGTTTCTGTTTGAATTTGTCAATCAACTATCGGTTTTGATATGAAACGTCAGTTTTTTTGCATTATCAGAGCTTCGATACGATGTAAGTCTCTGTCCGTTTTTCCGTGTGCGGCAGAGCTTAGAGCGCACATCTACGGTGACACTAGCAACTGCGGATTCTGGCGCTTTGCTGGTCTCGCCAGCCTTGCCAGACTAGTCCGGATGGCACCGAAGGTGTGGCGCTGATATTCTCCAGGCTCAACACTTGACACAAGACTCACAAGACAAGTTTGCTTTTGTCCCCATGAGCTTGAAATGGGGTCGAGAAGACTTTCTTTGCTGCACAGCACGGAAGCGAGTGACTCCAGGCCATAGTGACCATAGTGCTCTGGTTTTCCAATGTGCCTTGCAGTTAGATGCATGTGTATCACCCCGCAGAAATCTGCCTCAATCTCTGCATGGCATCTAATGTGCCGGTGTAGATGGAGAGCTGCAGCACCGCAAGACATCATATGACAGGCGTGGTGGCTCCTGTAAACGACAGATTGTAGATGCACGGTAGTGTCATCCTGCCTACAGTAGTACATTGTAACTCATGCGCCGCGAGAGAACCGACGGAGAGTGCTTCACGGCGCTGATGCCATGGAGACAGGCACACTGAGCTCTTCTGTGTTGGGAAGCGTGCAAACGCGCGCAATAAGGACGTGACGGCTTTCGACTAAAGGTCAACATTCCCATGCAGAAGCAGATACGGAGTTGGAAGGCGGAACCTAGAACTGGTTGGGACCTTGGCAGTGCTGCGCAAGATCAGATTTGCGTGCTTCTTTGAGTTCGCTCAGAGCGATTTCTCCGCGCTTTGAGGTTGCCGCGCCTGGGCCTCGGGGCCTCGCAGTGGCGACATGTCGCAAGCCGCGTCTCGTCAAGCTGAGGATTCTGGCCCTCCTCTAGCCTCCAACCAGCAACCTCCCTGCTTGCACCACACTGCTCTCTTTCTGCTCCCTGCTCGCTCGCGTGCACGCGATGGCGCACAGTGGGAACCGGGACAGAGTGGGCAAAGTTTGGGGCGCAGCAGCGTGCTGTGTTTGCGAACGGCTGTGGGCGCGGATAAATGGAGACTGCCAAACTGCACGTGAAAAGCCGAAAAGCGATAAGTCGAAAACTGATAAAGATAAGTTAAGATAAGGATTTTGCACGAAAAAACAGAAAACCCGAAAAGTCGACAAGTACAGAGAAAAGCAAAAAGTCCAAAAGTACGGCAAAACGCGAAAAGTCGAAAAGTCGAAAAGTCAATAAACCAAAAAGTCGAAACGGAGAAAGCACAACACTGCAAAAACAAAAAAGGTAACAAGTGGCACACATCTGCAGCATCTTGGCACTGCTACTGGGGGAAATGTTCGGGTCTTGGGGCCTATTAAGATTGAAACCTCGTCAAATCAAAGCACCGGAAAGGATGCAGGGTTTCGATAAGTGTGCGAGGTGTCCATGGCACAGGGAACTCAATGTGGAAGGTTAGATAAAAACACGTAACATCTGCCTATGCTATGTGTGTGTAAACAGAAGCAGAACTATGGTTACACGTACATGCATACGTAT